TGCATCTCACTGTTTGCCCATCCAGCCCATACTTCATCAACTTCTCTATAAGGATTCCATGGCAGAGAGTGTCAAAAAACTTACTGTAATCAGGGCTGACAATATCCACTTTATCCCCCGTGTCTAACAAGTCAGACATTTCATTGTAGAAGGTTATTAGGTTGGTCAAGTATGACTTCCTTTAGCGAATCCATGTTGATTATTCATGATCACCTCCTCTTCATGTGGCTGGAAATACTTTCCAGAATTAGTTCTTTCATTACCTTACCAGGGATCAAGGTGAGACTGACCAGCTTGTAGTTTCCTGCATCCTCCTCCTTGTTCATAGGTATGACATTTTCTTTCCTCCAGTCTTTAGGCACCTGGCCCAGTCATCATGATCATTCACGTCAACATCACCCAACATCAGTGAGCTCCCTTAGTACTTACGGGTGCAGCAGGACCTCTGGACTTACATAAGACTAGTTTGCCTAAGTATTCTCCAACCTGCTTCTCCCACCATGGGTATGCCTTTCTTGCTCCAGACTTCCCCAGTTTCCGGGTCCTTAAGAGTACTGAAAGCTGAACTTTCTAGTCTTTCTAGTAAAGACTGTGATGAAGTACTTGGCCTTTTTCGTGTCCTGTGTCATCAGGGCTCCCGCCCCATTCATCTGTGATCTCGTATTTTCTTTAGTGTTCCTTTCACTACTTACATACTTATAAAAGCCCCTCTTTGGTTAGTCCCAAACTGCCTTCTGATCCTGTCTCTTTCAGGAATCACTAACTCACCTTTAACCATGCACAAACTTTTTCTGACAGTAAAAATCCAGCCATTACAAGCATCCTGATGTTGTACAAGTGAGCAAATGACATTGGGGGATCCAGCCACCACTGGAGTGAGAGATACCTACACATCACAGCTAATCCTCATACACTTTTATTCACGCCCTTAAGACACTCTTCTACTGTTACTCCTATTGTTCTTATCACCTTCACTTTTCATTATTAACTGTAAATGCTAAGCATGAACACAAGGTCCAGTTACTGTTAGTACTCAACATTCCAGTATAACACTTTAGTGTTTAAATACTGGAAATAAACACAATCTCCCCCTTTGATAGAGTGCCATAGATGGCCTCCCATAGCTCTGCTAGTTTTTCACCATCTGCAGACAAATTGCTCATTAATCTTACTTCCAAAGCAAGTCTTAGTTTCAAGCACTTGCTTGTGTCAGCTGCACAAAAACAGTAATAAATTTCATTTTTTTCCCAAATTTCCACTCTGTTTTTTTAATTAAGTTGGAGCTACAGCCAATTCAATTATTTCATCTCTTAGTATGCCAAGTGGAAACATTATAGTTTACTCTTTCCCAATGTAATGCTTTTTTGAAGTCTGGAACTTTGCTTTATTGGTTCTTTAACCGTATTTTCATAAAGAGATGCTTGCACATTTGAAATCACACTTCACTGTGCATCCCTAGTTACCATGTACATGGTGTATACTTGAGTGATGAATTACATGAATGGAAACATGCAATAATACGCATACATTTGCAAGCCCATCAACAGCTTTAAGAACTGGCAACTTAATAACCTAGTTACTGAGCATATAAATTTCTTTTGTGACCCAGACTTTATTTCTCATGTTTTAAATTCTCTAAGTCTTGTTATATATCTCCACCAGAGGAGATATATAAAAAAAAAATGTTTGGAATAAAAACTTACAGTTCTTAGTGCTCTAACTCACATACTTAAAGTCCATTTAAACACATTTTTAATACTGTAGAGTAACAAAAAACCCAACCCAAACCAAACCAAAAAAAAAACCCCAAACCTGCAAAGAGACAATTGAGACTTAAGACCTACTACTGAGTTTTATGGCCTATAATAACCCCGCAATGACATTAAAATTGCCAGTGTTTATCCCAGCAATAAATGTGACCCAGCCTGTACTGTTTTCTTTCAAAGTTTGAAGCAATTAACACAATAGGTCTCCAATATATTCAGATTATTGTTACAGTAAGAGGTTACAACACATCAACATTATTTTTGATGAGTGGAAGAATATTTTTGAAAGAATCTTTACGTCACTTGAGAAACTGCAATTTTCCCCCCTCCCCTCAAAGAAAGAAAATATAATAAATGTGTACTACCTTGTCACTTTACAGCTTGACTCAATCAGCTCATTTTCAATATCCAACAGACTAGAAGGCAAATTGTATTCCAAGGATGAGGCCATTCTTTTTAAACGCAGTAAGCCAACACAGAATTTTGCTCCCATCTCTTCCAGTTCTCTTGTCCCTATCTGCAATCCCTAATTTGAAAATGAGATTTAAAAAATACAAAATAGTACATGCAGATGGAACCACACATGCTGCAGAATTATTCTACATCAACATTTTGTTATTTTGTTCAATACAGTCTCTTGGTTTAAAGACAGAACAAATAACAACTGTAGAGTAAACTCTTAACAAGAATAACAGAAGAGATTCAGAAATTACTAGATGATTCCTCTAAGTCTGAACAGAGACACCCACATTTTTTGGAGCTTTCTAGTCTACTTCTAGTACATCAGTATTAACAGTTCTTTACCCAGTAGCATTTGAAGAGAGACAGAGATTATGTCCAAATTTATAAGCATAAATAATTTTTAAAAATAGAGACAAAATTTATAAAAATTAATTTCAAATACAAGATTCTTCAATGTAAGTTCCATTAATAAGAAGGAAGAAAGACAAAATTCATATTGTAGCTGTGATTAAGTTCATTGCTATGTTCTGACACATAGATATGACTATTTAAGACATCAAAGTTACTCCTTGACACAGATATCTCTTCTCCCCTATAAGTTAGAGGTTATGTGTTAATTCTGAAAGCATTTATTCACACATTTAGTAATTAAAACTAACAAACAAATTATCAAAGGCCATAGCTGTTTTCTAACTTGAATGATATACCCAGGCATTTTCCTCTGCAAAGACTATTTAGGAGGTAGAATTTTTGTAATGCTCTCCAAGTTCACATATGTGATAAAGCCTCCCATCAGATAATACTACACTTTTAATTTAGTCAGGAGTGCAGTACATAGAGACATAACATCTGACCTCAACTACTTTATGAAAAGAGCATAGTCTAGAGTGACTCTCAACTGTTATGGAATTGGCTAGTTGTAACCGTATATACACTAGCAAATTCAATGGCACAACCCTGCTCCATCTCCCCCTTTGCAACTTCTGTATCTCTGGAGAATTTAAAAGGGTTTCAGTTTGGATCTTCTAAACCTCTTAATGTAAAGATTAGTTAAGAAGAAGCTTTGACAAAACAAACAGGGAAGCAGAGGAGCCAGGAATTGGTAGTAAGCTAAGTCATCAAGTAGGAAAAATACATGAAGCAAAAAGAATGGAGTAGAAAACTTTTTACCAAAAGCTAAAAAAAAAAACAAACACATAAGCTTTGTATATGTTGCCACACTGACAAGGTGTTTTAAAATGCAAGGTTTAAAAGAAAGTATGTTGCTCCAGAAATGGTTCATCCCACACATTGTTCATGTACTGTTTTGAACATACACACAATTAATAGATGGAAAGTTTGATTTTCTTGTGAGTTCTTTTCTTCCCTTAGTAGTCTTCATAAACAAGGTGCTTTACAGCAACAAGAAAGATAAAGCTATATCCACCATTCTAAACAGTGCCATCCTCCACCCAAATGGTACTGAAACCTGTTAGCAGTGAAGAAGAGTTGCATATTTGAGTATTATTCTTAATAGTAATGCTACTTACCTCTTTTATAATGCTTTTGTGCTGTAGGTTTCAAAGCACTTATTAATAAAGGAAGAATTATCCTCACTTTACTGATGGAGAAATGGAGGCAGAGAGGGTTGAAGCGATTTGCACAGTGTCTCACAGCATGTCACTGACCCCGCTGGGAACAGAAATCAGTTCTCCTCACTCAGTGTAGTACCTTATCCACAGAGGCCAATTTTTTGTTTTTGTTTTATATTTGTTTGCACATCATTAACTTTCAAAGGCCTCAAACATAGCTGGGGCTCCACTATGCTAATCACAGGAAGACACAGTCCCTGCCCTAAAGAGATTAAAATAACATTAAGGACAAGAGGCAACAAGTATGCAGAAGAGGAAGGAGAAGTGTAACAGTAATCTATCTCACTGTTACAAAGATTACTAATGTGCACAACTTGATGGTTCAGAAACTTTTCCAATCAGTGTCTACATTTGTTGCTGAAGAACTTATCATTAGTTGGTAGGTTCCTTATAGATAGCATATGTATAACAGGAGGCTCTCTAAGTTGAAAAAGGAGTAAGAGTAAAGTATGACGGAAAGTGCAAAGACAATTGTTAGAAAGATAAATAGCGTGCACATGTTCCATGGCTGCTATTTTCAGCAGAGCAGAAATAGGATACAACTAAGAGAAAACTAAATGGATCAGGTTGGAGGTGGATAACTGTGGAACACTGGGAGAATAAACTTTGAACTTACTACCCTGAAGGGTCTACATAATTGTGGTAAAAGCCCATGGTAAAGTCTAGATTTACTTCTCTCATTTCTTTAAATGATAAGGGGAATGCAATACCACACAACTGCCAAATACTGAATTTCTTAATCCACTGTTATTCTTCCAGCAGCCAAACCTCATAATTTCCATGAAACAAGACACTCAAAGTGTGTTTCAGGAAATAACAATAATAATCATCGTCATCAGTTGCCATCACTAAGGGACCTGAGGTGAAGTTCAGTTTCACTGAAGCCATAATTATGCTCCTTTTCTTGATCTTGTAATTATCCTCAACTGTTGTTCTAGCACTTTTAACTGTAGCCTATTAAAGACATTGTTTTTAAGCACAAGCCACCTGGAAGTAGCTGCTTTTTTTTTAAACGTGTGCTAAATGTCATTCCTTTTCCTTTACATTTTATACAATTGTCTTTCTTCTAGACAGTAACTTTTTAGATGGAAGGTTGAAGTCTTTCTTACTAACCGTGTAATGAAGATACCTTCATATGAGTAGAGCGTTTCAGTGATTAACTTTGCTACCTGAAAGCAAAGAGACAAAGCAAAGGCACAACAGACTGTGACCTCAAGTTGAGAAAAATGTTCCTGTAATATGTACTTAACCAAATTAAGATTTGGAGAAGTCAGTTGGACAGCAAAACATCATGCTGATCTTCTGTGTTCAGCAGAGGCTACAAAGACATAATCATTCTTGAGAACTCAAAATCTAAAGACAGAAGAATCATCATAACTGAGAAGTTTGTTGACTGAATCCTTACTTCCTGAAGTCTTCTCTTCACATACATCATAAAATTTCCACATAACAAAATCGTTTCCATTAACTTCAAAACTGATCAATACTCCTAAACTTAGTAATTTCTAATCAGGAAAGGGACTGATTTCAGTTTTTAGGTGGCTTAAATTATCAAAAACATTGTTCTTTTGTCTGTCATATTAATTACGCTCCATAGTAGATCCTGGAGAATCTTTTCCCCTGAAAGTTTGTTTTTCAACATCTTGAATTGCAGACGACTGAGCAATATTTGCAGCACTAATTCTCAACACACTACAAAGACTCCATGTAATCAGTTGAAAAAAGACTGCTTCCAGAGATACTCTGTTATTAGAGATCCTAAATTCAGGTAAGAATTGCTAACTTCAATTCCACAGCTTCGTGGCTGGAAATAGTCTAGCATCACCATTGTCCAAGTAAAATGAAAAAGAATAAAAAGAAAAACTGATGTTCAGATATTACCCAGCTTTGGCAAAGACTCAGTATTTCTTCCACAGAGAACTAAATTGTTCAGTAATCCTCTTTGTATTTTGAACAAAATTCAGCAATGACACCAAACCAGAATAAGACTGGAAAAGTGCTTCAGACCTTTACACAGTCCAGTCTGTGTATCTGAGAGTCTGAACTCTCATGCCCTTTGGGATGGGAAGTAGGAGGGAAGGAAATTTCTACAGTTCAATTTCTATTTTGAAATAACATATTATGACATATATAATTTAATTTATACCCCAAGTTTATTGACAGAGTTGCTGGCCCCATTCCCTCCACAAAAAAACCCAAACAACAAAACCCAAAAAAAAAACCCCAAGCCTGAGCCTTTTTATCTCTTTCAGCTTCTCATTGGAGAAATGCTGTTCTTTCCCTGTTCAGTCCAGTCAACTGGGCTTTTTAGATATATTTTCTTAGTAAGTCTGAGCATTATCCTAGTGAAGAAATAATTAAGAATCTTCCTGTACATTCAGAGGATGACTAAGACCTCACAAATTGTTTTATGCCAAATAAAATGAATGGCAGAACAGCAATTTTATCTCATCAGCTACTTTATATTACACAGAGGAATGCTCTTTCCTTTTCAGTAAATGATTCTTCCACAGAATCCAGCCATTTTTTTCCTTCATTGCAGAAGAAGGGCTTTGGAGGTTTAAGCATCTTGGAAGTTTGTCCACAAAGCTCTTCACTTTTCTTAAGTACTTTCTGTAGCAACACTGCATGAAGATTCATGTTTAAGAATATTCTGGAAATTTCAAAATAAGCAAGTTGGATCAGTTATCTTTCCTTAAAGCTCCATAATGATGTCAGCTGAGGAATAATGGAATATTCTGATAATAGCAGGAATGCTTCTGTATTAATTGACAAAATTTAGTACTTACAGACCTACCAAATTTCCTGCCAAAATGTCTGTCTTCCTGCTGTCTAGGGAGACAAGCATGGATGTTGGAACATACATTAATATACTAAATATACCTTGTTCCAACTTTTTTTTGTCCCACCCTATCCTTGATTCCGGCCTTCTGATCCTCTTCCTGTCAAGCACCTTATTTGAGGCTTGTGATCATTTTCTTGATTAGCATTCCTAAGCTCTATTTTCAGGCAGAGGAAACCAACTTCTTCCACGAACGTTGTCTACTATTGACACACTAAAAACAAGGTCACATTTTGTTTTCAAATACTCAGCCCTGTTAATACTTTTCAAGAAGAGAAAATGAAAACAAATTTTAAGTCAAGAAGTCAAACAACTATAATGAGTTCAGATATGATGTGTAATTTATAATGCTGGTAACCTGATATGAAAATGTTTTGATTTATAAGCCTGTTTCTTCAGCTACACAGGAAATTCTGTGAGGGACACTACTAAATACCTGCTGAAGAATCATGAACTGCCATGGTGAAGTCTGAAATTGCCACGTATTAAGTAAATTTTTATTATAGTATTGGCATTGATTATTACCCAATTTTAATAATCTATTGGACAGAACAGTTCTGGGTTTTTTTAACTACATGCATACGTAAGTGTTACAAGCAATGATTAATATTAATCTTGTTAAAACAGCCCATAAGCATAACTGTTATGCAACTTATAATATTGCAAGCTATGTAATTTCATCCTGCCATTAGTGTACCCAGACCTCAGAAGGTTTCAGAAGGTTTTAGAAGTTAAAGCAAGCAAGCAAGCAAATGGGGTTATAGAATAAGATACCGATGCAAATGGAAGAAATTAAAAAGAAAGAAAAGTTTAACTGAGATATCTTCTTACCTTATATTTGCCCTGGTCACATCCACATAAAGTGCTTTCCATTGTGTAGCTCCTTTGTACTCCTATCTCTCTCCAGACAACAACCCGTGCTGTAGATTCCTTGGACTTTTCCACTACAAAGCTGCAGCTGCCCATGCAGAATGCTGGGGCAATCTGACTCAGGATCTTGGGGAGTGCCTGCAGGACAGCAATTTGAAATTATTTCCTTTACAGAAGGAGATGATAGGGGGCCACGTAATCACAAACCATTATGAGAAAATTTTACTGCAGTTTGAATTAAAGTAACAAGAAAACAAATCTCCATCTTAAGTTTTAAAAACAGTGTCTTCAGGTTTGCCTTTTCCTACTTAATAAAATCCTTTTTTTAAGATTCAGTCACTCAGATTGTTAGTTATGTGGGTAAGAATCAGGATACAAGAGAATTCTTCAGCTGATCATCATCTTCTCCCTAATTCACCAAGCCAAGCTTGCTTAAATTAAGTGTACCACTCTTTGCATAAAGTTATTTAATTCAGTTTCAGACTGTTTCAACAATCCCATTTACAGACCTAACAAAAACAGTACTTTATTAATACATAAAATTAATTTGTATACAGCAAAGCACTAGGTGCATATTTAACTTCAAGAATGTGAATCAAAATGTAGTATAACTGTTTACATGACAGCTTCAAGGAATAGTTACACAAATATGTGTGTTTGACTAATGCTAAATGAGTATTCTTTCCAGCTTTACTTGTGTCAGTTAAAACAAAACATGACTGCTTCAAATTTATTATTTCAGTAGCACATACTCCATTAGTAGGGTAACCTTGCCCAAACATTTCAGTCCACCTTTTTGAAATCAAAAGGTTTTTTCCCCACAACTCTTATTGACTGTACAGTACAGTAGTGCAGGCTGAAGTGACAAAACCTCATATAAATGTGTTACAGCAGCAGGACGTGAATGGCATCCAATTCAGCATCCAGGAAATCACACAAGAAAATCAAGAAGTGATAGATTTTGTTTTTTGTAAATGAGGGAGTACAGAAAGCACCTCTACTCATTTACACTCATGGATGTATAACAAGCATTTTATCATGCATTCACATGTTTGTCGAGCTTAACTCTGCATTTCCTCAAAAAAAACAAGGGGGGCCTGGATGCATTTAGGTTGCACGGGTTTGCAGTTGCCACGAGGCGGCAGTGGAGATTCACAGAAGAAACAGGTAACATGCAATCCTCTAAATTTTTTACATTTTTGAAAGTTTATACAGTGCAGTGGCTGTTTTTGTGGAAGTTGATTATGTATATGTAATTAGGGGCACATGTCTTACCTACAAATCTGTATAAGAGGAATCTTCCCTATTTCCACACACAAAAATGAGTATTTCTCAGAACAATCCTGTATCTTTTCTTGTTCTAGAATATTGTTTGCCATGCTTAAATGACTATACGCTCATCTAGTAATTATGAATGCACACAAGTATATTTTCCACCTACTGTCTCTAACAGTAATATTAAACACACACAAAAAAAGCACTTATTGGTAAAAAGAAACAACAAAAAAAATTAAACACTCTATGTAAATATTTAAAGCTCTCAAAATACTTAAAAGTACACTCATGAACTAAAAAGAGATCATTTTAAATAAGTCTGCTTATGTTATAGAGTCATTACTTGCACAGAATATTATCAGGAAGTTATTTTAAAAGTATATTCCAAATCCATGCCCAATGAAAGAGGTACAAATGTCAAACTCAAATGTCAAACTTACCCTGTAACCAGGGTCTTCCATCAGGTCACAAGAAGCAGCATTAACACTCGTATGCCACATTGTCTCTTTGATGCTGCAGCCATACATAAATACATTCTTTTTACGAGAATGACCATGATAATCACAGTAGACCTACAATAAATCATTTGGCAAAATAAAACTAAGGCATACGGAGTTAACATTTTGTGAAAGTAACATAAGGCAAATTTTTTTTATTATTTGTATTATTGTTGAAAGTTCAAAAGAATTAAGCAACACAATTCCTTATATAATTAACTTGTGTATTATGACAAAAAACATGGGATTCGTCTAAGGAAGGTTTAACCTTCTATCCTAGCCAATGCAACAGATTTACATCTACAGGTTTGCAGAAGACCAGTCCTCCAAGTTAAATTTAAGTGTGACACGGTTTACAAGACCACATTAAAATGTTTCATTCATAGACTAGCTACATAGATAAAGTTAAAAAAATTCAGAATTGCTTACACACACATACTTACCAAAGGTAAACGTTTTATAGCAGCCAGATATTGCAGTAACCCTTTAGCATGGTAAATAGTGGGATGCAGATCTGGATTTGGATTTTGCCACTGTCTGTTTAAATCTTCTCCACTTAAAGAGCAACGGTGGCTATTGCGGGGGGGTGGAAAAATGCATGATGTAGTCTGTATTATCATACTTTTAAATAAGCCTCCCCCCCACCTCAAGATTTCCTCATCACCACTGCTTCTTTGGAAGGAGTTTGGCAAGAAACAAACTTCAATTTTCTAACATGCCATGTAATAGAATTGTTTGGGGTATTTTAAGTTATGTTACAGAGAAACTAAAAATAAATTAGAAGTAGCTTCTTATGTGAAGTCACTTGTAATATTATTTATTTGCTGTTGAAACTGACGGCTTGAAATTCTATTGAAATGTTAGTTCAAAATTAGTAATTAAAAATTTAAGGTATCTTTACATTTTTGGTGTCTTGACTTCTGTAATTTAAAGACTAATGTCAACTAGAAATCTAATACTTGAAACAGGAAACTGTTAGGAGACAAGGAGCTGTGAGAAAAAGAAGAAAGAAAAAAAACAAACAAAAACCCAGCAAACAAATAAAGATCATCTCTGCATTCAGTCAGCTATCAGCAAGAACTTTTAAACTTGCAGAAATTCATGACCGTGTAGTCATCTTCATTACATTTGCCTTTAGATTGTGTCTGCTTGGACATATTTCTTAATTGTCCCTATATCCTGAATTATTTCATCAGAAGTGTTTCAGTATACACATGCTCTTACATTTAAAGACAGAGTTCTACTGAAATCCATAATTGGTTTTATTTTTATTATTTTGTTCACAAAACTTTTTAAAATATTACCCATAACTAGATGAGAAGAAAATGTAGATTCATCATAGCAAAATTTCCATTTCATTTGAATTCCGGTAACCAAGTAAATGGAGACTGCTGAATGCTTACTCACAGCAGTTTCAAAAGGTTCTGAAATATCCCTTAAATCTACTAAGAAAAGTAGCAGTAAGTGAAATAATTACTATGAATAACTTTAATCAAACCAGGATACTCTCTTACCCTTTCTCTTGCACACTTATTAGCTTTCCACTTTTAACAACATATGACAACAGCAAAAAGACATATTTACGTAAAAAACTTTCTCAAATATGAGGCTTTTTTTTTTCATAAGGACTAGGAAGTTGTTTAGCTTTTCCTAAATGTCAGGTGTGGTCTCATATAACGCTGTTATACATATCCAAGACTGCTGTTCAGAGAGACAATTAAAATGTCATGTCAAATCACATAGCAATGATTATTATCCATGGAAAACTAAAAATATTTTTTATAAAACTGAAAATTGTGACACAATGCAACTACATTTTAAAAAGAAAAAAATGAAAAAGTCCTAGCAATATTGCAACTGTTAGTTGGATTTTATCTCATTAAGTATTGCATTTGTATCTTTCCAGGATTACTTTAGATTATTCTGTTTAAAATAATGATGTAAGGAATTAGTAGTGCAGGCTACATATTTGTAAGTAAATGTATGCTTACTTTCCATTGATGACACCATCTGGATTGAGCATGGGAATAATTTTGAAAATGTAAGATTCCCGTAAACATTGGGCATTTGGACTATTACTCATAAGGTATTCCAGTGTTCCCTTCATAACCCAGCTTGCATTAGTCTCTCCAGGATGTACACGCGCAGACAGGAAAACATAAGGACGATTCCCTAAAAGAAGTATGCGTAGAAATTGCAAAATATGATTTAAGCTAAGTAAACAGTTTGTTAAATTGAAAAAAGAGACAATAGCCAGCTACGTTCATTACAATGCAAAAAACTCAGTATTTGTGATTTGAGTATTACTGAGTATGAGTATTATTGATCGAGCTTGCCATAATATTTTTTAAAGGACTGCTAATTACAGAACTATCACAGTGGAGCTTTAAATTAAATCAGACAATTATACAGTCACAACTAGTTTGAGCTGGCAGTTATGATAGGACTTTCACAACTTTTTTCCCAACAGCCAAGAAAAACACTGGGGTGGACAAACAAATCAGGAATGCTATTACAGCCAAAGCTCACTTCGCATCACAGTAGCTTACATATTGGCTTTATGAAAGATTTTTTGACAAGTAAATAACCTCAGCATTTGGAGAAAAACGTTACTCATCAGGCACTCTTTTCCAAGAAGTGTTGTCTGCAAAATGTAACATACAAAAACATCTAGCAACAAAAATTTTAAATATATTAATATATACTCTTACATTTCCAAATATAAATAACTTTATTTGACTACTACAAATAAATATTACTAAATAGATAGCAAATCCTAACTACTGGTGCCTCTTAATTTCAAGAAAGTTATTACCCTTATTTTACATTGCTGTTTTTACAATGCATAGCAGCTAATACTAATTTTTTTTTCTATAAATACCTAGTTTTGCATTATTTTCAGATGATGATAAAGAGAAGTCATACTTACTGAACTGACAGACATGTTCATAGTAACTGGATTCTGGCATGGCTGTAATAGTGATTAATGGACAACTGTTGCCAGCCAGGGTCTTGCAGAGAACATCTTGTCTAAAATATATCTGTTGAGGGTTGTGCATAGATTCCAGCTTCTGAAGATGCATCTTCATCCAAAAAATAATGAAAAAATACTTCAAATCCTTCAAATCACATGACAGCATACTTCAAAGGTACTACTTAACAGATCTTTCTTATTATTCTAAATAATGCACAAGTTTCCATCATAATTCTGACCATGAAATATCATTCTCTACATCTCTGACTGATTGAATACTTCTCTTTACAGATTCTGTTTTTCCAACTGCTTCAAGAAGGATGAAGGCAGAGAGGGTACATTATTGTACACAGATGTTACTGTAAGGGTAAATGGAAGGTAAGAACCTCTGCTGCAATAAGGTTATCTGATAAATGACCTTTCCACTGCAAAAAGTGATAACAAGTAAAGGAATAATCAACAAACAGCAACAGAGAGCTGAGACACAGCAGAAACAACAGCAAAGACCAAAGTCACCAGTCTCTCACTGACAGGCCATTAGGAATCTACAGACAAAGATTTGGAGTCACCTGAGGAATAAGGAGGAAACAAGAGGAACCTGAGGATTCAGGAAATTCAAGAGGGGGGCTGTGGTACCATACAAAAATCAAGCACCTGATCCCTGCAGTATGCCTTAGCTCTCTCTCTCTCCTTAGCAGCCTCACTCTCTATTCTGTGCATGCAAGTGCTATGTAGGCTAGTGCAACTAACAAGACAGGTGTAGGTGGATTTGGGAATGATCAAGTGTCTCAGCATCATTAGTTGGAGACGACACACCTCTTGGGAGCATCTTTGTGGGTACCAGAGACTCTGTGTCCCATGTCCCAGCTGCTGTTGGAATCAAAGCAGACTCCAGCAGATGGAGCAGTAAGCACTGCAGGCACCCTTCAGTCAGTGGTATCAACAATGAAAGTGTCTGAGTGCCAGCTACTGCACTAGGTAAAGGGTGTTGGTGTTCAACCACTGAAACAAGAACAGTGTGTTCCCAAACTGGTGGTGCAATAAAGGCTGATTTCTCAGTGCCAGCACCTAGAATAGTAACATGGATTACCAGCCCATGTGCCTGGTGCCAGATGCTAGGGGTGGCGGGCAAGTATAAGCATTTTCCCCACAGCAGGTGTGCAAGGTGGGGAGTGGGCATGTGCAATTTGCTAGCAAACTCCAAGGTGGACTACCAAGCCAGTATGGGGTCCTAGGTCAAGGAATGGGTATCAGGTGGGCAGAGAGTCCATGCCGGCATCTGGGCAGAACCACAGGTACAGAGTGCCTGTGAGATGAGTGAGATTATCTTAATTATAGTAACTTCAGTTATCAAGAAGTATATGTAGAACAGCAGGATACAAGTCATTTGACCCAAATTTGACTCAAACACAAATACTTCATCCAATTAGCACTGTTTCCAATCAATTATCACAGAATGTGTAAGGCTGGAAGGAACGACAGTGGGTCTCCTGCTCCAATCTCCCTCCTCAAAGAGGGCCATCCTAAAGCAAATGGCACAGGATTGTGTCCAGATGGTTCTTGAATATCCCCAATGAGGGAGATTCTACAACTTCTCTGGGCAACCTTTTCCAATGCACAGTCACCTGCACAGTAGGGAAGTTCTTCCTCACGTTAAGGAGGAACTTCCTGGGCATCAGTTTCTGCCTGTTGCCTCTTGTCCTGTTGCTTGGCACCACCGAGCAGAGCCTGGCTCCATCCTCTTGGCACCCTCCCTTCAGATACTTACGGATATAATATATATTAATGAGGTGTCTTCTCTGTCATCTCTTCTTGAGGCTGAAAAGACCCAGTTCCCTCAGCCTTTCCTTGTAAAAGAGATGCTCCAGTTCCATAATCATTTTTATGACTCCTAGAAAACCCATTTAGCCTGCAGGCATCAGTTCTTTTTTTCCAGGACTGTTTTTTAGAACAACCTATACACTTTGCAGTCTAAACACTAACATTATGAACATTTTCAAATTTTAAGGAGCATTTTAAATTTTATTAGAAGAAACAAAAGAATGCACTCATGAATGCTTATATTTCACACTTTCTAAAACTATAAATATTTATCTATGTAACATACCATAATCTTCTTACCTTTAAAGTTGAGTATGTATATGGATAATGGTAAGCAAAGTAGCACACATCATCTTTATGTTGGAAAGTCACTGTGAACGTAATTGTGTAATAGGATTTTCCTTTCTGACCTCCAGCAGCAATTGAACTTCTTGAAAAGTGATTCCTAAAGCAAAAATAAAGGTAGCATACATATTAATTTTTTTCATACCATTGATTATTTCTGAGCACACATTTTAAATGTCAGAAGGATTTTTAGAAATTCTGCATATATAACCTGTATTTAGGTTAAATACACAAATTCCCACCAGCTGTAAAGACCCTGTCTTACAGCAGTGATACACACATTCATCCACACTGGAAAAAGGTGAGCAAACAAAAACAAGCAACGCAATAAAACAAACAAAACCAAACAAAAAAAAGTAAGCAAACAGCTATCAACCTAGAAGGATTGCATATGGATATGCTGTACCATGTCATCCTGTGTTCCAGGATTGCTCTACACTGATTGCACCATAGATTACAGGAGGCTCATCAAAAGGACCATGTGGTCAGTATTAGCCAAAGTCAGTAAGAAGATTTCAAGTAAGCATGCATATACACAGTCCCTTAAAAGCTTCTCTGAAACAGTGTGCAGCTTCAGAGAAAAGTATAAAATATGAAGAGCTTAAATATTAGCAGTGTGCTTGCAAAATAAGACCCTGTATATTTCTATCACTTCTATTATTCTCCTTAGTAACTTGGGAAGAAAACTCTGTTCACAACAGAATAACGCAATTATCAAATGCAGAAACAAATGTTTCTCCTCATAAATTGTACCTCCTGCTAAACTTCAGTTAAGATTTGCTATATGTTTGATTCACATACTTACTTATAGTAACAAATATCTGTCCCAACACGAGTCCAACATGGTTGAGAATTTAGTGCTTCTTGAACAGAATACATGAGGGGCTGCATACCTGAAAGAAAACGTGCATCTCACTTTAATGCTTAACATTAAACAGAAAGATCTTAGCACTAATGGACCACATCAACACGTACATACAAGTCTACAAATTACCTATACCTATTCACTATCACAGTATATTTTCATGAACGCCTGGGTATTGTATGCTCTTTCAACCAGGTGACAAAAGATTCCTGATTTTCAGAAAATAACAATTAAAGAAAAGAACCAGATCCATGGAAGACCAAAATGAAATGTTTAAATGAAAGATGAGGTTAGCATAAACAGTAATCTACAAAAAATCCTGGGTCCCACTCCATCCAACTCACGCAATAAAAAGGCTTCAAAGAGAATATAAAAAATTATACTATTATCCATTCACATAAATAATTGAAAAACAACTAAATTTCAGGACAACTTTTTTAACAGTTAACTCTTTAAATTATGTATTTTTGGATAGTATACTAAATTTGAATACTTAATGTGAAGTTAAAGCAGAAAATAACACATAGTAATTGAACATCATTTACTGGTTGAGTAATTAGCCAACCACATAGACTGATTTAGTCAACGTACTTAAAAAAACCAAAAGTAACTATCAAGTAAGTATATGCAACATGAAAGATTTAAGACAACTGATGAGGATTAGTAAATAATTTAGAAGCGTCTTATTACTGGTTAAACTACTTGGTATTCTGTGACTTGATCAATGTGAATGTTATGTGTATGACAAAGAAGAATATAATATTACTCTGTACAAAGAGTTGAATTTGGGGGGGGAGAAGGAATTTCTCTTCTTCCTTCTTTAAGGACAGATTTCAGAATATATAGCAAGAAAAAAAAGAAACTTCATGAAACAAACGGTTTTAAGCTGAACAACACACATCACATAGACAGTCCCAGAGAAGTGGAAGAAAGGCATATTCACTAAGCCAGTACTTTTGAATGAGGTACATGCTTCAGACTTGCTAAAGACTTCAAGGATCATTTAGGAAGCCCAGCAATTCAAAGGCAAAACTGTTTTAGAATATCTCTGCTTATTTTCACATCTGAAAATATACCTCTATGCAGAAATAGACTTATGATGTCATTCTTCCTGATCTCTGTCAATCAACAGGCTTTGGTGCTGTCCACCCCACCCAATGGTCTTAGATCACTTTTAATTGCACCAGTAAATTTCTTCCAATTTGGCCTCACTTACAACAAAACTTCACTTTAAAAACTGACAGCTCGTGGTTTAAGATACATTTTTAGTTTTTAACTGAAGCTGTCAAAACATCTTCTATTAAAATAGTATTAAAATAAAGCATGTAAACTGACAACATGAATACTACTGATCCTGTGGAGAAGGGAAGGAAACAGCTGAGATGTCTAGTATAGATATTTTTTTAAGTATTTTTTCTCAAAGTATGGGAAATGTATCTTACCGTAGTTAAACTGACTGTTTGACTTTTCACAGTTGATGATGTTAAATCGATAACCAATGCCAGTTTTCATTCCACTGACTTCAAAGTAAAACCACTGATGATAATGATTGCTATTTATATCCGAGTTCAGAATTAGATCATACTCATTTCTGAAGATCAACAAAAACAAATCAATCTTTTTTTTAAGAAGCAGAAATAAAAGGCCTAAAGTATGAAAAGAAGAGCTGAAATATCTTACTTTCTGATCTGAATAACTTTGCGCAGGTTTCCAGATTCAAATTTGGAATTAAACTTCAAAACATCTGCCTCCTCTGGTATGGAACAACTATGAGTAGAAAATGAGTCCAAAATGAATAAAACAAACTTAACTAAAACAAATTGATTTCTTTCAGTCCTCATTTGGCAGTTCAGAAACTACTTTGAATCTTCCTCTAAATACAGCCTGGATAGCAGAAACACTGTTACATCAGATAAAACTTTCAATGAAATCTGCTTTAAATATTGCAAATCATATTACAGAGTAAGTAGAATAGACTTGGGGACCCCTGGTAGTCTAGTGGTTAGGATGCAGCACTCTCACCACTGTGGCCCAGGTTTGATTCCCAGTCAGGGAACCCCTCCGGGCAGATGGAGCTCGTCAGCCCTGTAAGGCAATCCATCTAAGAGAAGGTCACTCTAAACAAACCTACGTCCTGAGNAGCTCGCTCGGCCCCGGCAGATGAACCTCAGGATTAAAGGGTGGGCTCAGTTCAGCGCACGCTGGGTCTCACCTAAAAAATCCACTGTGCAGTTTCGAAGGGTAAAGACCTTTTCCAAATCTTCGCTCGCAAAGACTGGCCATACACACAGAATAGACTTAGAGTATGAGTCAAATATTCTTTTCAGAAAGGTAAACACTTACCTCAAATTATCAAGGTCATACACAACTCTGTCTATAATGTCATTTTGATAAATCAGCCTTTCAATATCTTGAGAGATTTTTGTCCTAAAATAAAAGGTAAAGTTCTCGTTTAAACTTTCACATAGTGTTCTCAATTACAAAAGAGGAATTAACTCATAAAGGAATGAAAACTAACAAAGTTGACATGAAGATAGTGGTATAGTTCAGAGAGATCTCAGCCTCACCCTCACTTATGTGTACTTAAGTTTAAACACCTGCATTCACAGCTGACTGAATCCAATATTTATATGTGAGGGAACTCAGTTTTCATGCAGACAACCCACTGGGTTTTATCTTATGGAAAAAAATGCAGTTTCATACTTTATAATAGAAGCAGGAATAACTCAAACGTTACTTATGTTAATGCTTTAATCCAGGACAACACTTGATAACATTAGTAACTTATATGAGTCCTACCATAAGCAAAATTAAGGAGCTTTAGAGAGTAGGTCATACAGTGAGCGTGTTAGTGAACTAGCTTTTCACCTCTGGAGATCTAGGTTCATTTAGCGACTAGGTAACAAATAAAAATTAATTTGGTGATGTCAGCCAAATGTCAGGTGTATGCTTATCCAGATCATAAAACCATTGCACAACTGGCAGTATCTAGGTCCTGGTTTGGAAAAGTAAGAATGTGTTGCAGTTCAAGAATGAAATATAGTGGCAGAGCTGTGTGGAAAAGCTTGCACAGCACCTGCAATAAGAAGAAAAGGAGGCAGATTAACAACGAAGAATACAAAAACAGAGCAGTAAAGTATTCATGCTGGAAATTCGCAATTTAATTAAAATAAATACTGTTAACAAATGAGAAAGAGAAGGTAAGTGCACAACTCTAGCACCTCTTTTTAAATTTAAACTAACTGGAAAAGAAAACAATTCACAAGTCCAATGTACTGACAAAATTGTGATGAGGTTGACTCATCACAATCTATCTGAACAGGTTCAGCTCAGGACAGAACCACAAATTTTTCATCTTGCACTTGATCTTACAGAACTCTTCAGACCTCAGCATGCCTCAGCTCTAAAAGGTCATAACACTTCCTATCAACACAGGAGTTTTGCCAAGACAAACCTCCATCGATGAAAATACTTAATAAATACTATATAAATAATAATGGCATTCAAATACCATTATAATGACCAATGTATAAGAAAGGAAGAAGAAACAGTATTCAAGATGCACACTAAAAGGAAAAGGAGTAGTAGACATTTTCAGGTTCCAAGAAAATCAAGATAAGCTATATCAAGATAATTAAAGAAAAAAAAATCTGGAACCAACACTGTTGATATGAGCTGTGTTCTTATAGACTAGTCCTTTGTGGATCCTGATGATTAGAAAATACAAAAGTGTACAGAAAAAAAAAAACAACCTAAATTTTTAAGGAATGGAATAAAAAAAGTAGGAATTTAAACACAAATTTATACGGTATTGAACTATATCATAATTTTCTTCTCTAAAACAGAGTAACATAAAACACTTCAGTTATTCTCAATTTCATTTTTCCAAACAATAATAACCTGGTGAGACATTTGGTGATAATTACATGCTACTGAACTTAAAAGAAAAAGTACTCCAAAACACTAATTAAAAAACATTTCATCTCTTGGTAAACTGCAAGACTAAAGAAAAAACCCCAAACCCCGCACCACATTGCTCTAACAAAAGTATGAAGAAAACCTACTCAATCACACCTTAGACTCACCAATGTTTTCTTAAATTACATGGATGGATTAAAGCAACCATTGGTTTTCTAAAGAAGACTTAGCTGATTAGCAGTAACTAACTGCTTGCATTAAGGAGAACATAAATCCCACTGAATGTCAAAAGAGCTTGGACACAGCTTTGTAGAAGGCTTTAAAGTTTTTACATTCCCCTATCAAACTCATTTTTACCACTTTCCTAAAAAATATGAATTCCTAAGAAGATTAAGCCCTTTTTAAACAGGTTCCCTTCTCAGAAGTTTGTTATGTTGAAGTAACAAGACTTGACTCATTTGTAGAAAACTGAATTCTTAAAACAGTGTATTTTAAAAATGTGATGTAGGATTTTTGATTCAAGGTTAGCAGTACTATCTGATATTTCATTCTTGTTTCACACAAGACTTAAAGAAGTTATTTTCAACATACGAAATATAACAAAACCAAAATATTTTAAAGTTAAAATATACCCTGAAATTATGTTCTACAAATCAGCTTTACGTATAAGCACACAAGGTTCGTTATTACAGTTCTTTATATCTAAGAACAAGCACTGGAATGACAAATTGTATCTGACTTCACTCAGTTTTATTCAGGAAATTTCAGAATAATTAGTACAAAAACATACTTGAGGATTTGCAAGATTTTCTTACAATGCAGTTCTTGGGTGATTCCTGACTAAAGACTATCCCTCTTCTAAACTAACTGACTATCTAATAAAGAACTTAAAGGGAAGATTCTCTTCCTTCAACACTGAACGGTATATTCATTATGTCATTAGTTTTCAGCACTTGTTCATTTCACTGGCAAGATCACTGTTTTACAACAGGTATGAAACAGCTAAAGGATTTTAATTATACCACCTAAACACACGTAATCTCTTAATCATTTTAAAATCTAAATGGAAATATGAAGAATCTCATTAAGTTGGTTATAGTTACAAATATAAAGCCAAAGGCATTCAACCTCATAATTAGGCAGGTGGTAAGGTCTCATAGCTACTATTGTATGTTCTGCTAACATCCGCACTTGTCTACAGTAACCTACTATGTATGAGCCAACCCTTCATACCAACTCTGCAAATTATCTTAAGAGTCTCATTAGTCTTCATCACTTCTCATCATCTCAGAGAAGAAATAAATGGGTGTGTTGATGTATTGTTTTCTGTTGGTTTGCTCTATTTTTCCTTCTGTGTTTATTGTGTGCCATTCTGCAGGACCTAACACAAACTGCATTCTCAGCACTTGTTACCTCTAAATTCTGTTATACTACAAACACCAAAACCAAATACTTCAGAGTATTAATTTTTTAACTTTTTCCACTACATTTTCCTGAAAGATAGCTTTTTAGCACAGCAGAGAGAAAAGCTGAAGCATCTTCAAACTGTCCTAGCTTTGCTAAGACCTCGAGAGCATTCAGTTGGGGATTTTTTTGTTTATTTGGTGGTGTTTTTCTGTGGATTGGTATGTTATTTTGCAAACCACAAAATTTAGATGGGAGATGGTGGGAAGGTAGAAAGAGAAGGTATAAATTAAACTTAGTATTTAGAAACTGAATTACAGAATTAGCAATTACAGATCAGACTGTGTTCTTCTCTATGGCTCTGCACTGATCAATACCTGTTCACCTACCTTCAAACTGCTTTTCACTGAAAACAGTTTTACATGCCAAAGTAAACTGTGTAACATGGCCTGGTAACCACAAAATCACAAATAGTCAGGGTTGGAAAGGATCTCTGGAGATTATCTAGTTAATCTCATCCTAAAAACTGTTCCTCAAGGGAACAATAACAACAACAAAAATCAGTATGGTAACTCACCTCTGCACCCCATATGGCCTCTCCAGAATAGGTTCCTTAAAGGGGGGTGGAATATGGCCAAAATAATCTGGATAGGCCACTTCTGAATATTCCGGAATAGATTTTGTGCTTTTTACCATTTCAATATAAAGATCACAGTCATGAACTGATGATACATCGGAAACCTCAAGCATGACTTGTTCCCCTGATGAACTAGATCTGGAATCCTCCTCCTCCTCTGAATCCACTCCAGTGCAGCAGAGTTTTCCCAGCTGGACAGATGATCCTTCAAATAGGCTACTTCCACAGGGTGAAACATGTTCACAAGGCTTACCACAAGCAAGTGTGGTAAGGTTAGCTATGCTTTCCTTCTTTACTACACACCCTGGACCATAATACTGATCATTTTTTGCACTGTTCTGCAGACTGATTCTGTCTAAGCCTGTTACAATTTCTTGGCTTAGGCACTGGCATGATGGAAGCATGTTTCTTTGATCATTTTGGTGATGTGAACTACTGTCTTTCATACCATCTTTCTTTGGTAGTTCCAGAAAGACTGGCCTTCTATTATATTCCTCTCTCAAAAAAGGATTGCTTTCCTTCAAAGCAACCCCTTTCGTTGACTGGTTTGCTTCAGCAGAGTGCTCCTCGCTGGCTGTAGGAACAACAATAGGTCCACTCAGATTTGCATCAGGTACAAAAGGCTTTGGTTCCTTGGAAACTAAGTCCCATTCCTTAAAAAAAAGGTGAAAAAATAATTTAAAAAAATTTTAACAGTTCCTAAGTTCCATTTACATTAGAAACATTTCTCTTTCCCTGTTCCTGAGGTAAGTTTTTGAATAATCCAAAAGAAATGTAATTTAAAAGATAACAGTTATTATGTTATAAGCTATCATAGCAATTAAGGTTCATCTTTTACAAGATGAAAGCTTTAAAGCCGTAAATAAGTAGTTCATCAATAACAAAGTATCAAGGCAATGGAATTGATCCAAATATTTAACCACTGATTTTAAGTAGATGCACAGCATAAAGGAAATACCTAATACAATGAAGCTCTCTCAGAAATCTCATGTCCTTTCTTACTATTTTATTTCTGCCATGTCCAATAATTAGACATCAGAAAACAGTTTTGTTTACATCTGCCCACAGTTCCCTTCTCAGTCAGATTGAAGTAACCATAACATTTAACTAAGTTACTTAGTATATATCACTCTCATATGTAGAACTAGAACTGCAGACCCATGTTTCTTGGCTAGAGGAACTATCCATCAAAAAAAGAACTTCAAAGTGTATTCCAGAGTCAACCTGATGTAACAAGAAATGTCCTGAGAATCATATACTTTACCTGAAAGTTTTCTGAAAGTTCTGGGAAAAACTGCTCATACATTTTCAATTCTTCTATGGGTCTTCCCAATTCCTGTCTAGGTTTCAGTTTATTAATATCAGTCTCAATATCATCATTCTGAAAGATCATCAGAACAAATTAATCTTGCATCCAGAATAAATACACTTCTAAAACATTAATCTGAAACATTCGCTTCTTATGCCTGACACAGCCATGCTTTAAAAGCTGAATACCCCTATTTGAAAATTAACTGAACTGCAGCTTTCATCATGAAGATTTAAGCAACTCGGTTTTATTAGTATGCCTAAGTTTCTATTTCAACAGAAATACTAAAACATCTCAATTTTCTTGCTTTTACACAAATTTATTATATACAGATATCAGACTACACTTTACATGAGATCTGTGCATATTTTGACTATTGCAACTTGGAATGTGGAGACTTCAACTGATTGCAGTGACAAAGCAATGCTGCTTCCGTAGAAGACACTCCTTTCATCAAGGCTCATCAGATCCTTGAATAAAAGTTGTCTTTCCAGTCTATGGACAGACAATTCAATTAACTCCTAAATACCTGTAATATAAAAATACTGAATAAGGCAGTTCTGACCAAATATCCATCCGTGTTCCAAGTGGCAGGTGGAGAGCAGGATAATAACTTCCCAAAGTGGTACAACAGTGAAAGATCTATCTGTGCCTCTACAGTTGCCTGAACTTACTACCTTGCTGAAACACTGATTTACTCAATCCCAGTCCAGAATGATCAAAAAAGTCAGAGCAGCTCCTACATACTGAGCAGCTTATGTAGGAAAAGTGGGCTGAGAGAAATACAAGTGGGGAACAGAACACTGCCAAAAGAGTTTGCAGTTCTGTTCCACTGTACTCCAGACACATTGTGAAGTAAACAGATTTTGATAAAAATCTTGAAGCCATCTGAACAAGAAAGGCTGATATTTCCAAGCAGCACCTGCTTCCTTTAAGTTTCAGGAGCTTTTTTGATTAATTTTGTCTCTACCGACCTTAAAATGTTGGTCTTTATCATCATCATTTTCAGTTTCAATTTCAGATTCTGTTTCAGCATCATCATTATCATCACTTTCATCCACTACATCATCCACTACAATACAAAAAAGTTTGGTAAGGCAGATTATACATTTAATCCAATATACAAGTTCAAAGAAGAACTTCTGTGTTCTGGGTTTATTTTCTTTTTCACTTACCACATGAAAAAAAATTTGAAAACCAACTCATTAACTAGTCCTGTTTGTTATGTTTTCATTATGTTTTCTCATAAAGGGTTTCCCATGCAGGAAATCTGCTGATTGTCAATAAAAGGCTCACTCAGAAGTTTACAAATTATACTGACTTTCTAGTGTATTCAGAATAACTACATGTATTGCTTTTACAATACTGACCACAGAAGATTGCACTTTTAAAAAACACAGATCTCTACCCACCCCACATTCTACATGTCTTTTAACACAGAAGTTTTTTCTTTTAAAGCAAATCCTATGTATTCTATTTCCTTAGGTTTTTCTCTTCTTTTTATAGAAGATAACAAAACCGTTTGAAAAAACATATCAGTAGTTCACTTCACCAGACTAGGAAGTTTCTAAATAGGTATTATAGAGTACCAAACATACTGTATTAAGTGGAGATTTATTTTCTGTGAATTTTGAAACACACTTCTAGATCTATTTTATATGTGAAGACAAAACATATACTCCTTACTCCTGGAGTTTGAGTCTGACCCACTTAAACTCCAGTAGGATACCTTACTTCTTTCAGACCATGATGACACTTTGTTTTAGGAGATACTGTGAATAAGAAGATATTAATAAGTCTGACTTTGCCTCTTCGTTTTAGAGTAACTTTTTGACAGCAACTTTATTATTTGCCTACCCAGGTCCAAAGCTGTTTCACCATATCTGAATATGCATTAAACATTAATTCTCTGAAAATAATGAAAGATGCTCACAATGGGCTGAATCCATTTCCTACAAAGCAGCATACAAATGCTTTGCAGACAAGTGTTTCCTAAGAGACTGCAACAGTCCAAGAAAGCAGCTTTACTTTTTCATCATGCAAATGAAGGAAAAACCACAATAATTTAAAAACGCCAATGCTTCAAGTGGCACATGCTAATCTAAATTCAGCACACCCTGAGTTATCAGGATAACAGAAAGAAAGGAATACATGCTTCTGTAAAGCAGGATGTACACTACATCACATTTCACACAGCAGAATGTATATAAGTGAGTTAAAAGGAGAGACCATTTAAGTTTGTATACAGCCTATTCTTTACACTTCAGACTTTGATGAACATCACCTTTTAGTTCCTGTTTTCTTTTTTATTTTATAACCACAGGTGTGGACAAAGTTTTCATCACTTAAAACCTACAATTAGAAACTAGTGCTCCACACTAACAGTCACAGACCCTTTCCTAGTTAAGAAGAGCATCAGAGTCCAAGTTTTAGGTGAAAACACAAATAACTGCAATTGATTCCACTTTACACAAAGCAGCAATAGACAAACTCAAAGACAAAGTATAACAAAACTACCATACCACCAGGAGGCAAACTGTACAGCTGAGCCACAGGACCGCTGGCAGGAATAATTGGGAGTTGGAAATGGAAAGCACTTTTAATAGTTGGTAAAGGAAGACGATTTTTAGGAAAACATTTTCTCATTATTAGGCTGGATGTGTTGACAAGAGGATCAAGAGTTCTTACTGCAAGGCACTCCTATTAACAGAGAATAACAAAAAGTATTTATCAAACTAACAGTCAAACTACATTTGTTACACTATTAATAAATTCTAGAAATCTGTATTTTGTTTACAAAAAAATTTGCTAATGTCTCCTTTGAAGGCCAGAAAAACTTCTACCAACTCATATTCACATCTTTTTAAAAATCTAAACTTCAAAATTAAAAGGTATTTTTACCTCATCTTTTTTTAAATTTAGTTCAACCACGCCTTCCAGAGATAGTCACAGCAAAATAATAGCAAATATTAATTTAATTGTGTACTCTTTCACTCTATTTCAGGCTGGTACAGAAAATAATGCTTACTTCCACAATCAGGACTGACCACGAATCTCATAAAAGAAATATGACGAACTTGAGGTCAGGATCTTTTTAAAGCTAAAGAGGCAAAAACACCAACTTAAGAAAAACCAAACACAATAAACTTACTTGTGAAGTGTTGTAAAGAATTTTCATCCCATTGGCATCAATGAATGCTTTTCTTCCCAGTTTGATGTTTGTAACACTTTTAATGCACTGCAAAACTCCTTTACGTATCAGCATGTATCTGTGACGACTATCATGACGGTGCCAATCAACATAAATCGTTAAAAGCACTTGCACATATCCTCTGTCTACTGCTCTCCTGGCATTTGTTTCTTTGCAAAAAAAGTTAGGAAAGAAAATTAAAAATTGACCAAATTACTTCAGTATTACTTTCAAATCAATGTTTAAATTATTCTTTTTATGCAAGAGAGTTGTTTCATTTTAAGTAGTGTTTTAGCCACACTTAGCAGAGTTTTACATCAACCTAAACAGAAATGACTGAACAATTGAGACCAGTAGTCTAAACTTCATTCTTAGAATAATACCACATGTAATTTTCATGGTTTACCAGAAGAACAGTGTGCATTACACTTAAAGGTAATGGTAAGATGATGTCATCCGCAAATTTAAAAAAAAAAAATTCTACAGAGCATATCTATGTCTATCCACACACACTTTGTAGACAAAATATTTGAAACAAACTTCTTTTCACTTGCAATCCATACAGTTTTGCAGCAACTATCACTCAAATTTGATAAACTTATAATACCTCTACCCCAAATACTGGATAATCAGTATGACAACTGCACTATACACATCATAGATTAGTGTTTTTATGAAGAGATTTACTTACATAAAGTGTAAGAAGTCAAAACAATGTCAAAACCCCTAAGGAGAAATCCCTAAATAAATGCACAAGATCTCCTGCTTTAAAGACCTTTTCAACACTTCATTTCTCTCCCCAATATTAAAATTTAACTGCCAATTTACAGAATAGAACACTGACAATGATATAGAATCATTTCCTTCCCTAAATTTCCCTAGGAGAATTTGCAAAATTTTTAAATACACAAATCAGAAGACCAAGGTATCACACTGAACAAACATGAGTAAACTGTGACAATCAATACCAAAATTTCCTGTCATTTGTCTGAAATGGTTTTCTGCAAATCTAGTCACACCTCAGTTCTTATCCAACTCCACTGGAAGTACTAGGAATGCTGCAGCTTTAACACAACTGTTTGGAGAAAATGAGTTTTTAATTCCCTTCTAGCTACAATCCTGGTTCAACATCTACAGAGACAACATTTGTTGCTTGCTGCTGGATGAGACAGCCCATGCCTGGAAACAGACTATTGTTTTGTTACCCTTAATTCCACTTCATGAGCATCACTGACAGACTTGTCATTAGGACCCAAGTCCTAATTACTCAGAAGAATTACTGAAGAATACCTACATTTTCCCCTGTCATCCACAGATATTTTCATATATATATATATATATATATATATGTAAAAGATGCACAGGAGTTAAGTTATAGACCTCTATTACTGAAGGGCTAAGATGAGTGAATGTAAAAGGCTATTCCTCTACCTCAGATCCAGATCAGTTTTGCAGAAGCAGTGAAGCCCTTCTGCTGCATAACTGAAGAAACACTAACCAATTATTAAACATATAGCTATATACAACATAAATAAAGCACCACAGACCGCAGATAAAACTGTACCTTATTTCTAGCTTTCCTCACCTTGATTTTGTTTAGGCCACAGACTTAATGTTAGTTTTACTCTGTCTATACACACACACATATATATAGCTCAAGTAGACAAACAGTTTCTTGTAGTCAAACACTTACTTGATTTTAGCAATGCAGCAAGTGTGTCTAAAGCAACCCTGTCAATATAACAAGAAAAGTCAAAACAGCAACCAACCAGTAAGCTTAATCTACAATACTATAAAACTAGAAAAGATATTTACTGCTAACAGACATATAAAGTCTAGCCTCATCTTTTCCTGGTTGCATTGTATCACAGACTTCACTTTTAAGATTTGATTTTACTAAGAGATCACATAAATCTGCTGTATCTGAAGTCTGATGGTAAAACTTAAAAAATATCAATGCAATGGCTATCCAAACTTCCAGCTTTTGCAAAAACACCGTGACTATGTAATGTTTATGACCGACACTCAGTGGTTGTGACAGTTCTGAAATTCATGTTTTTGTTAGCAACAGAACAAGTATTTCCACAAAGGACATTTTCAAGAACTGTAGGTCAGTACTGGTGGTGTATTAATATATTGAGAAGCAACACCCATCAATCTGTACTACCATACATGATGGTCGGTGTGAGAGTTTTCTTGTACACAAAGAAATTTTTTCAATTAACTCAAATGTACAACTAGAAAACATATAGACTTATTTTTCTCCTCTTCGTGAAGACAGACTTCATGTATATGATCTTACATCATAAACACGGATATCATGATTACTCACATCATAGAATAGTAAGTTCCTATGTCTAATTTTAGGCTGGGGCTTAAAGGAGCAGGGCTTATTTTTTTTAGTCTGCCACAGGTAGGTACTTCAAAAAGGTGGAGTGTATAAAGAAAGGCTATCTTCAGTTAGATCCACTTAGCTAATTTTTACCCTAAATTCACCGAAAAAAACCCAAAACAAACCCCAAAAAGAACCCCAAACAATCAAAAAAACCCATAAAACCTATCTACCACCATGGGGATGGGAATCTAAAGTCATCACTTTCAGCTACGCAGTGAATTTTATGTTTTTTTAAACACAACAGCACAGTGGCCCACTAGACAAATATTGCGGGGACTTCCTACTCTATATTTTATGTTCTTGCTCTGAGAGTCTATAACTGATTTGAAATAAAACAGAAAGAAAATTTTATTACCAAATAAAAGGGATAGTGTCACACCAAAAGCACAAAGCTGATGCAGAAGCCAATTAAACAAACTGAAAAATGATGGGACTGTCTTGATCTGTTTGTCGTGATTTGGGGATAATTATTGTACAGTTTCCATTCAGGAACATTAGAGACAGAAAAATAATACTTATATTATTTTACCATAACTTCAAACAGACATTCCAATATTTTGTGTTACTCTACTGGGTAAAATTAAACTTCCCATCTCCTTTCACTTTATTAATATTTATTATTCAAATATTAATTGTTTGATTTCCCTAATACTATTTTTAATTTACAAGTAAGTTTTGAAACATATACAAGGTTTTACCATACACTATATTAAAGAGACCTTACTTACTTCATAAGGCTAGTGTTCTTTTTACTAAAAGGGCCAATGATCTTAAACATCAGTTCTACTACTCCATTCTTTCCCAAAGATACTGCATTTACAGCTGGAAGAGTTAAAAGCAATCCATTTTAAGATAATGTAATAAGAACGGCAAAAGAAAAAAAAATCAGTATACTCAAACTAAAATTGACACAAGTTAATTTTGAAGTACAAAAAATGCTTGTGCTTTAAGACATACAATGACAGGCAGACACACTACACATAATCAGCATGACAATCCAATCTTGATAGAACTTGAAAAAGAAAAAAAACGTAATTACTACTATACAAATAAAATCATGTACTACTTCCAACACATGCTTCTGCTTTCTTTGTTATTAAAATGCATTAAAAAAAGAATTTTCTTAATTCAGTTTATCAAAACAACAGGCTTTCTAAAATTTCAAGTCTAATAAGTTCTATGACTTGCTACTATAATTTAGTATTAGGATACACAGGTACATTCACCAGGGTTTGAAAGCCAAGAGTCTGCTATAAAATTTAAAAATGCCAATTGGTATAAGCTTTCCTGAACTACATGTTATGAACATATGTTCTCAGAAAAAAATAGTATAAAATTAACCCATCTGAAAGGGAGAAAATGAAAAGAAATTATGCTAAGACTTATTAAGTTCAAGAAATATGCACTGAAAGTATACCTGGCTAAAGTCCAACAGCCACTGAAAATAGAAACTGCTGAAACAGGCACAGAAATTCAATTCCTGACTGAGTTTAGCAATATGTGCTCATGACAAAGCAGGAAGACAGCAGCTAAGACTTCAACATAACAAATGCTGTTACTTAGTGTAGACTTTAGTATGTGAACCTCAGTTGCAATTTCATCATCATTAGCAGAAACATTACACCAGAACCTAAGAAAAGTTAGGACTTATTCTAATAGTAACTGTACTCAAACTTTAAACAGTTCTACGCACCAGAATGTTATGAACTACTACTTTTTCTGTTTCTAAGGAGTGGGAAATACAGAAAGACAGAACTGATCTTAGCAGAAGCCAAATTGGATACTCAGTTAATATGCCATTTTCAGGATGAAGCAAGTTTTCAGCTAAGCAATGTTAACTAATGTAACTATCTGTATTAGACTCCTCAATTTGGAAGCACTTTACCTCATTATCAGTCAGCTCAACAGAAATAAAGCTGCCACATTTTGAAAGTATTAAGGCTTTATGAATTATATCTGCTCATGAGAATGTCCTGAAAACATAATCTCACAGATCATCAAATCAGTTCTCTGGGGCAAACATGGCTATGTTTTCAATTTCTTGCACTTATTTAAGATGTTTAATGACCATTTTGAGCTCAAATGAAAAACTTAAGAGCATCTAACCAACAGTAGAAATACAGCAAGAATCACACTATTTTGATCAACTTCCTACTGCCTGTCTGAACAACTAGGCTCTTGTGGAAGAATATTACCCTAATAGTAGAGCACTTGTATACAAGGATTAAGGAAAAGGTTAAATTAAGAAATATAATATTTCCTGTGTGAACCAAGTGTTAAATTAGCAATAAAGACACAAAATAAAGAAACAAAAATAAAAAAACATGAGCATGAATAATAAAGAGAATAATTATTTAATTCTAAGTGCTTTCGCAAGCACAATGTTAGCATTTCCGGTTTACATCTTCACACATCAGCATTTATGCAAATTAGATAGCTCAAAATTCCACACATTCCATAAGATTGGTTAAAAAAAAAACCAGCTTCTTCCAGAGTTTAAGCAATTTTAGGATATAAAAAGCAAGTTCTCAGAAAGAAAGTATTTTAAACAAACATCCAAATCTGGTATTTTAACCTTATCTAGGTAAAAAACTTTATATTACATAAAGAATAAAATAATTATCTGCAATACTTACAGTTGGTTGAGTAAACTCTTAATACTTGAAGACATGGTAATATTAGCCTGTGGTTCTGCAAATTCTGCTTCACTAAATTCAATGGTATGTTTAAGACACCATTTATTCTTGCTTTCATGCCAATCTTTTTGTCTGATGTCAAAGAAATACAAGATCAATCACACTAATTTTGAAATTATTATTAAAAAATAGAAGTTAAATGGCTGAATTTCCTCTAGTCATAGAAGTAGATGTCAGCTCTGCATATCTACTTTGCACCACTCTTCTCCCCCATCTCACTCCTCCTTTTGCTCTCCTCTATCAATTCTGAATACATAGATGCTTACACAATAGGCAGAAATTTTTTTTTAAGTTTCAATTATAAAACTTCAATGTATTATGCCATAATATCACCTTTTGGACCAATTTTTGCAAGAAGAGTATGAAGAAGCACCATTAATTCTTCATTTGGTGGAGAGTCTTTGCTGGCAGTCAAAAGCAGCTGTAGTAAGATCTGTGTCCCTCCTTTGGTAACTAAGACACTTGCTCTCCGACCGCCACCTAGAAATTAAAATTGAGCTGATATCTCTAAAGCCAAAGAACAATGAAATATCTAAGCTACAGTTATCATAAGTCTTTAGAACAGCAATATTTTAATATTTTATTCATATGAGACTGCACTATGCAAGAACATGCTGGATTTAAACTTATTATTTGTGTAGGATTATTTGCAAGGTGACTTCAGTCTTTATGTTCTTTTAATTCTGCATATCAGTCCACCTTAGCAAATGCCAACAAACAAAAAACCAAAACAATAATAATAAAAAGCCTCACAAAAAAACCAATAAAAAATAACCAACCAAAACAAACAAAAAAATGCCTGAAGAATAATGTACAAATATAATCATATATGACTCCTTAAGGAAAACTTACCAACTGAGATTACCTCAATGAGAATATTCAATATATTTAGAATAGTTTGAGGATCTTTTGTATTCTGCAACAAAAAAGACAGCGATGTTTGCCTAACATAGCAGTCTATTACAATGGTTTAGATACTTAAAGCTAGGAGAAACTGCCACCATCAAATCAAGTAGAACTTAGGATGTATAACCACCCAGCTAAACATCCCACTATGCACTTGAATTAACCACAGAAGCAAATAAAATCTACTTTGTAGTATGACACAACAATTAGAACTGATAGGTGACAAGAAATTCATAAGTAGGTTACTTAAAGACAGTATCTAATCATTACAGACCAACACCACAAGTTTTGGAGACTCCAAAGGATAACACAACATATTTCATAATAAAAAGCCCAATGATAAAATGCAAAACTCACTGTGCACCCATAACCACAGAGATTAAAAGATTTTACCTCTAGGGTTGCCAGGATAACTTCTATTCCAGTGGAGCCCTTAGAAGTCATCTCCTTCCTGGTTTTTTCTGTCAGTGAGAAAAAGACTAATACTAGCTTGCAGAAATAGAATACATGATCAGAATGATCAGAATATCTACACTGTAAATAATAAAACCTATTAAAAACTATATAAAACTAAATTAAAAACTTAACCAATTCTAAAACTCTTTTTTTTTTCACTTGTTGAACAATCTTGTCATGTCCTAGAAAAAAAAGACCGTAAAGAAAAAAAATCAGTAAGAAAGCTCTCTTCCAGAAACTTCTACTTCTCATAGATATACATATGCACGCACATACATATATCAAGTGAATTATTACTTAAAGTACAGCTGTTTGACAATAAAAAATTAACTTAGCGTAACCAACACTATACCAGATAGCATTAAACGTGGACTTAAACAGATGCTGTCAACAGCGAAAAAACCAGATGGACAGTCAAGTTCACTAAACAAAAACAAAAATTCAAGTCCAGCAAGGAAGATACACAATAAGGAAGGCTCAAAAGGGAAACTACTAAAACTACAAAACTTAGATAATTACCTTGACTCTGAACCAGATGAAGGATCTTAGAGGTAACATATCTGGCATTGTCTGATTCTCCTAATACAGAGTCCAAATTGATCTTCTCCAACTGTGACAGCAGGGACATAGTCCGAGAATTGGCAGAAACGCTACAAGAAGGATTTTTTACATTTTTTTTTTGTCTAGATCAGAGAAAGAAAACTACTAACAACAGAAACTCCATCTCAGAGTAATGGCAGTGGCTAATTCACCTTCATGTTTTATTGCAGCAGACTAATTATATGTAACAGCATCTCCAAGAGCAACTGTGAACAGAGAAATCAGTTGCACCAAGTAAAATGCAGATATAGGTACAGATGTTGTTTATCTATGTCACTTAGAGTAACTTATATTTAATAATTCGCATTAAGTGACAGGATACTGTATCAAACCTGCCACTCAAGGAAAAACTGGCTACAAACAATCCCAAAGACTGTCTCACAGGCTGGCATTTTGAAGTGGGAGAAAAGACTGTCATTCATGAAATGATCAAACTAGCACCCACCAGCCGAAGAAAAAGAACACCATTTTGAACGAGAAACCTTTGGAACATTTCCAAAGTTATCATCAGGGTTTGGATTCATTTTGAACACAAGGGTATTGTGGCCTGCCAACAAAAAAATTGCCTTGAAAATGTATTTTAATAGAAGGCACAATTTCAAACCAGTCATTCATATAGGCAGGTAATTACAAAGAAAGAATTACTGTAAATATTTATAGTATTCTAAACAGAGTCAGCCTAGAAACTGTTTATTTGCTCTCTAGTTTAACATCATAACAATTATTCAGAATAGTTTAGAGATTCACATTCCTACATGAAAGTAATCTTTAGACAAATGTTTGACATTTTAATTACAGTCATGCAGTTAACTACAGGAAATTATGACTTCCAAGAATTAACTACATTGAATTTTCACTTCTGTAACATTAGGGTCCCACAATAATCAACAATAATTCATTTTACACTGACATTGTTCTGACTCCCTACAATAAAATTGAAATCTACAACGTTGCTTTATAAATTCTGTCAGTTTTGTTTAAAACAATGAGGAATTATTACTCCTTGATTTGTATTTTACATTGGTGTAAAGGTTTCACACTTACAGTTAACTCTACTAAATCGTTAAAATCAAGGGAGTAAGGTAGCCAAGGCCAAAGATTATACTGCCGAGAAAGCAAATTGATGTTAAGAGCTGCTGAGGAAACTCCTTTTACCACTTTCACTTTTCCATATTGACATGTAAATGAGAAACATAGCCAAAATCTATTTCAGACTACAGATGATACAAGCTGCTAACAACAGGAATAAAAAATGGTTATATTAACTATAGACTTAAATCAAAGCCATTTTATATTGTGAAGTAAGCATATCACCTTCTCAGTTATTTGCTAGACTTTGATTTCAGAATATTTCTTTAATATAAAATAAATCTGTCTTGGGTGCTGAAACACTAATTTCCTTGTTTAAGTAAAGCATAATCACTCCAATACTTTCTCATCATCCAAAAGCAGGCTTAGTATAAAGGTATTTTTATTTGCGTAACCTTTTTTTGTGTATTTCTCCTCCTCCGTTTATCCATTTGAAATGCTCCAAAATTAACCCAAGATTTTAATGAAATCCATAAATTCTGTTGATCTAGTATACAAACTGACAAACCTACACAAGGTGTTATCTTCACCAGCTCCACAGTCAAAACAAGCAAGACTCCCGCCAAACAACACGTAAGCCAGTGTGTATGAGAACTGCTGCTTCAACTTCTGTATGTGTGTGTATATGTATAATTTCCATTGTGGTATATCCCTAGTCTTACCATGAAATAAATGTAGTTTGAAAGCTGAAAACAAGCCAAGAAAGCAAAGCTGATCCTTAGAAATAATAAAGATTTTTTAAAAAATGGGGAAAAAAAGTTTTTGCAAAGATAAAACTCACATGTAGGCATTAGAATGTCAAAGCAAACCTCATTTTTGACCACTACAGCCTGCAAAATTCAAGCAACACTGGTGCCTGTAAGCAATTTACCATGTATAGGAAGTTGGCATCTAACATAGTTTCTCCATACTTACTAAAAGCTTTAAGAGGTTTAGGTAGAGTAAGTCATTCTCATTACTGGGTCGTATAACAATTTAAGTTTTAAGACTTAGAATTACAATCTCCGCCTGGGGACAGAGCTTCTATCAAGAGCAATAAGCACTTATTGCTGCAGAGATATCTTTAGAATGGTTTTCAGCTATTTGTCCTGCACGAAGTCTTCCAATATAAATATAGCCAAATAAACTTCCTGTCTTCACCATACCCAATCAAGCATACTTGAAACTGGCATCAGCTAACACTGAAATATACATTAAAGTCTTGATATCCTCTTAGTTATGACTGAGTTTTCATCTTAAACTAAGATTTGTACTCTTATTTATTAATATTCTATACTAATATACACAGTGGTTGTAAAACTGTGACAGTTTTCAATGTCTGCACAGTAAATTAAAAAGACTGTTGGACAGGAATTATGGCAGCCAGCCAGATATACAGGAGTAGAATCAGTAGTACTGCTGTGACAACCCATTTGACCTAAGAACAAAATGAAAGCCTAATTTGTAATGAGACTCTTTCTCATATCTGTAATGCAAATACATAAGTCACCAATGTGCCTGTAACAAATGTGGATAGAGCCTTCCCAAATCTTCGTTTGCTAAGCCCCGCCATGAATGCAAATACATATGTTTTGATCAACAAACCATTCAGGATCCAAATCTAGAAGACAGTTCTCCAAAACAGAAAGGCACCATGGAATCCAATATTTTTAACAGCAAAAAAACAGAATGGCACAATAAAAACTGTCTTATCAGAGCTATGTCTTATCAGAGCTCGCACAAATACTCTGAAGACTGTCCTGACTTTCATGGTGACCTGACAATGACAGACACAGCAGGAGCCAAAGACTCGGGAGGAAGAGCCAAGACTTTCCTGTGCTTAGATTGTGAGGGTATAAAAGCCCAGGGGTTCCTTTGCTCAAGGTCCCTCCTTGGAGGCACCAGCTTGAGCTGTTTCTGTGCTGCTACAGCATGAATAAATTGCTTTGGGGAACGAGACATCTGAGACTCTGCCATGGGAAACCTGGGGTCAAATTAGTATGCAGGCAGTGTAGACCAGTCACAAGAATTCTGATTGGAGTATCCAATATACACTGGAGTCATCAACCATCAAACTAGAAGAGCACTAACTAGGATTCCAGCTCAGTCAAAAGCCACTGTCAGAAGGAATGTGATGACCCAAACAGATCTCACACACCAACATGCAGGCTATCCAGGTCTCCAGCTGCCATGAGTGCCTGAGTTTATCACTGATGAGGAGGGCAGTGGAGACAAGATAAAACTAGTTTTCCCACAATATGAATAACCCTTTTTGTTATTAGAAGTCGCATTTTTCACCTCACTCATTCTAAATCCTTCTCACAAGAGCACTCTGTAATCACCAAGTTACATACAGTCTCTATAATCTTTAGTTATTAAAAAATTCTGACTAAGAAGCATCAGAAGAAACTCCATAACACCATAAAAACTATTCTCTTCAGAGTTCGATAAAGACCACAGCTGCTCTTCATGGCATACATATGCCAAACCAGTCCTTAACGACCTACAAAAATGATGATTCAATAACCAAAGGCAATTTCATTCTAAGGCTTTGTATCCCTTCATTTGAAAGTTTTTCTCCCTGAAGTTTAATCTTAATATTTCTGGCACTTCTTACTACCAATGTGACTGTCCTTTGCCTGTTCCAGTCATATACCTCTTTAAGCACAGTATCTTGCACATATTTCCATCAAATATTCTTAACCATTTTCTGCATTTCACAAGAGTATTTTGAAATTATTTGGTCCTGCAGTAGTTTTACAGATCTTTCCAGCTTCAAGGTGTCTGCAATTTTAACAAGAATTTCCTTGTGTTACGGATCATTAGTCAAAACCCAGAATATTTCCAATCATTAGCTGTAAGCAGAAAGAGAAAGAAAGAGCACATGCAGAAATAAACTGTGCACCGTTTCCTTCTGACAGCCATCAACCACCACTAGTCTAGTAGCCAGTCAGTGCTTTATTCTGTCCAAAAACAACCAATAATTATTCTTCTGGGATGGATTTAGACTTTCTTTAAGTGTCTTGAGGTAAAAGTTTACCAGTTTTATTTGATCCTGTACAGTTCATGTCTCCATAGGCAGGAAACTCTTTCTTCATCCCACATTCAAATGCTGCAGCTCAAAATGCCCCTCACACCACCACTTAGCTTGCAGAAGGGAAGCACTGAACACCCTTGCCATCATTTCAACTGCTGCCAAAGCTTACAGCATCACTCGAGGTAGCCAGAGAGCTTTGTGGATTTCCTCCTTCTCTGGTTAGGAAAGCTACAAGTGGATACAGAGGATGCATGCTCAGACAGTGAGAACAGAGGACTTCAGGGGCTCACATTTGAAAAAGAATTCCCTCAACAAGAAAACATTTTCTCAAAGAAAGATCCCTCACTGCAGGGACATTTCTTCCACTCCCAAAAGGTTTAAGCATTCTAACTCTGATTATGAAGAAGTGCTAGACTCACAACTCTCCATTACTCACTGTATGCCACTTTCACTATGCAAATGCTAGAACACATCATCATAGTTTTCTGGTTGTCTACTCACAATGAGAAAGATAACTCTAATGGCTGCCAAGGCAGCTTATAAAAATTCCCTTATCTTAGCATGGTTTTCAGCTATTCATCTTGCAAGAAGCCTTACAAAATATAATAGTCAAATGAAGGATGTAATCACTTTCCCAACTGTACCTACTTCCTCTGAAACTGCTGTATGCAGTCAGCCAGCACAATGATGCATAAGGGAGTTTCTTCTTCCCCCACAGTAAACAGGTCTTCTGTATTTTGGTATGTTCCAGTGAGCCTTTAAAAACCTATTTTAAAATAGGCAGGCTTTTCATGAGTTTGTTCTGATTTTATTCCAATGCAAATAAATTCAAACTTTTTTTTTTTCTCAACCATTTCCACAGTTACCAAATAATCTTTAGAGAGCTAATACTTCTTATTAGTTCAGAGCTATCTCTGTAAACAGAGTCACCATAACTTATTGAAGATTTAGGGAACAACTGTTTTGAATTGCAGAGATAAAACATTTATTTTATCTCCATAACTAAAGAAGAATAAATGGCACTTAAGTGGCCACTCTGCAAAAACCTAATATTCTTCATGATAGTATATTTCATGTATTATAATTTGTAGTGTTTTCATGAATACTCATTGCTAACAAAGAGTTTGCTTTCCTTATCATAATCCCTAAGGAGCTAATATACTATAAGGAGAAAATGCAATTGTTTCTTTACTATTTCTTTTGACCCACCCCTCACACAAATAGGAACAACCAGTCTCTGATATCGAGCCATTCTACTTCTAATCAGCACCAGCAAAGATGATACTACACACAAGAATTTAATGTCAAATTTTAAATAGATTCCAAGACACAAAACTAATGCACAGTAGAGCAGATTCTTCATGCAAATTCACCCACTCAGAAAATAATGATTACTTCAGAGAACTAAGACTGAAGCCAAAATTCCGTATTTTGCTTCCTGTACATATTTTTTTAATCTGATTAGATCGTTTGACTTAACAAGATGGTATAACCTATGCTATTTTAAGAAAAAGACTGAAAGCCTCTCAATAGTTTCCTGATGCTTAGCAGCCTTCCAGAAACAATCTCATAAACTTTTCAAATGCTTGCTAAAACAAGTTAACATGTAATAAACACAACTTTTCAACTCGACATCTTCTATAATTCCACTCTTGTTTGTTCTAGCTATGTGTTGGATTGCAGGATTGTTGCAGAATGACATACATCTTATGACAAAATCATGGCTTCTTACACAGTATTATAAACTTGTTCTTTAATTCCTTCCGCAGAGATCATTTTATGCTTCGCCAATATGTGCAGTGAAATTATTAATATATTTTTCAATTAAATTTAATGTATACTTTATATTTGAACATATCTAACAGTAACTGAAAATTTAAATTTTGCAAGTTATTTATTAATTAAGCTACTTCATGCTACCAATATTGATTTCTTCAGTGTTTCAGGACATCAACTTACACAGTCTTACCATGGACCCATAATAATGGAAGTTTCTCCAACGCTAGTCTCAGCTTCATATATTTTATTTATCTTATTATTAAGATAAAGACTGTTTTTTCACAGATCTCCAATAGCTTCATGTTGAGAGGTCACTATAGTTTTTGCAAATTTACCTTTTTTCAGATGATGTTTTTACTTTGTTCATATCGAAAGATGATTCTTCAAATTGTCATTTCTGATAACCTGGAAGATATTAAACAACTACATATTGTCAACATCTTTTGTTCTTTAATGATGAAATGCTACCACCATACTGAATGTCTCTACACTAGAAATGATAAGAAGTTAATTCACATTAATTGCATTTCTCCACACTGTCACAAGCTCTTCTCTCTTCAAACTATTTGATCCAGCTTTTAAAATAAATTATTGCATTGTAAGTATGGAGTATGATTCTGCATTATAATTCAGTCTTACCAAAGCTCAGAAAATCTGATTATAATAGAACAGAAATTTGTATAAGTCATTTAATAGACATTATTTTCCTGTCCATGATGGAATTTTATCAAGTAAAGTTTTTGCTGAAGCCAGTAAACACACTTTTTTAAAACTACTTGACAATGTTATAAGATGCCACAACATACTTATTTCTGACTACCATTTCATGTATCTATAGAGTAATTAAGTCTAGAGGTCCAGTGAGAAACATGGAGTATTTGGTGTTCTTATTTAAGCAAGACCTGAATATATTTCCTGGACAGAAACCATATCATGCTAAGAACTCAATTTTCCTATCCATTTAAGGACATAGTGTCCTCAGGGCACAACACTTCCTCAAATGGTGCCTCCAAGGTTGCAGTCTACAGGACCATTAACTGAACCTCAGTACCCATTTGAGATCTACTATGAATGACAAATACTCCCACTGTGACAAAAAATAGTATCCTCCAAGAGCACAGTTGTTAGTTTAAAGATAGAAGACAGAGCAAAGGGGAAAATGGATGTTCAAAGATATGGGTGCTGAGAATGAATATGATAAAGCACTTTTCTTTTGGGAAATGCAGTCAATAAATTCAGCCAATTACACACACAGAGCTGCCTCCCATCCCCTTCTCCCCAAAGAAATGTGTAAAACCTCTCAAAAATCTTTGTTGTTCAGCACCTAAAGTAATCAGATTTTTATTACTGTTAAGTTCCATGCCGCAACTGCTAAAAGCCTAAAGAAAATGAAGTAAGAAGCAAGCTTATTTCCAGACTTACCTGAAAGCAGAATCTTCTCCCAGCAGCCAGGAAGCAAATGCTTAGCTTTTCACCAGAATTCCAGCTTGAGTCAAGTTAACAGGTGTCCTAGGTTTCTCCAAGTACCCTTCAAGTGTAAAGTATCTCGAAATCCTTTAAAGAAAACAAATAGTTACAAGACAATAGCTGTGCCCACCACAATACACACAATTTCATGAATTATAAAGTCTGGAGTATCTGAACCAGGTTGCAGGTTGCAAGTCTTACTGGGGGGAAAATATTAGACTCTTGAATGCAAGTAGCCAGGTCTGTTTTGCTTGCAGCGTTGACCCACTGTCATAGAGATGATGAACGGTCTGCCAGTGCCAAGACTGTCTATATATTATAGTGTACTGAACTGCTGTACAAGTGGAGCCAGCTACTGAGCTGAAGTATCTTGAACTGCAAGATCGTAATTTGTTTGTCTAAATTCACCAGAAAGTATTTAATAAGTGCTAAAGTGCTTACTAATACTCCAGGTCAAAGGGAAAAGTCAAGCAGATAAGAAAAAGTACAAGAACATCTGAAAAAAACCAAAACAAAACAAAACCCCCAAAAAACAACCACCAGGGAGAAGGAGCATGGAAAAAGTGAAAAGAGATAGACATGCACACAGTAGCAATCCAGAAAGTTGTGGTGAAACATTTATGCATACTAAAGTAAAAAAGTTTCTCTAACATTTTACCAGGTAATGCAAAATTACTAATTTAAAATTACTAATTTAAAACTTTTAATATTATCCTTATTTTGAATAAAGGATTGATAGAAAGGTAAAGGCACAAGGTGAATGAGTCTCAATTTAAACATACATTTTAAATTTAATACCACTTGCCTGAGAGTGGTAGTCGAGCAGAGGAAAAACTAATATCAGTTCTGCTTTTAAAGGAACAACAACAATAACTGAATAAAAGCACCTCAAGTTGAAGGGGAGCAGAAGAAAGAAAGAAGTGTTGACTAGTTAAAATTCCAAGCTAGTATATGCTCGATTCTCTGCAATCTCCCTCTGCCTTTTGACATTGCCTGTGAATCCTCTCACCTACACAGTGGAAACAGGCAGCGTCTTCACGGGAAATTTCTCCAGACGCGTGAAGTTCCAAATCAGAAAGCTGCATTCACTGTAATAGTGCTACCAACGGTACAACAAATTAAGTGGACTGCAAGAAATTATATATCATTTTCACCTCTTCCTTTCTCTTCAGAAAAGCACATAATTGCCTCACTCCAAGGTCAATTTGGTGTCACTGAGCCACTGACTCACCTTCTCACTGATCCACCTTTTCAATGCTATGAAATTTTGACATTGGCAAGGTTCATGCAACAGGGAAGAGTATAACCCCTCCAACAGTTACCTTTCATATAAAGTTTTCACATTTGCCAAAACGCAACAGAATAGCATGGAACACAGTCTCCTACTTCTTGGATGAATATTCTAACCACGAAACTACTGCACAAAATGCCAAGCACTATCACAAAGCAATTTTCTTTTACTCAAAATAATGGCTAAAGAAACAAACTTGTACCATTTCATTCAGACCTCATATTTGGACATGACTGTTGGGCATTGCTGTGAGTGCCTGTTAGACTACAGAGGACTTGTAAGGACACCATCTCCCTGAACACTAAGTTGACATACCTGTATTAGATGAACACCCAGACACTCAGCCTCTTCAAGGCAGTAATAATTCTGGTCAGACATTGTAACAGGATTCAGAGGAAATTTTACTGATGTAAGTTCTGGGGCTCTCAACATAACTGGGATGTGGACTTCCTGAAGCAAGTCCAGAGCAGGGCAATAAAAATGACTGGGGTGATGGAACAACTCTCCTATGAAGACAAGTTACACGAATTGGGACTGTTCAGCCTGAAGATGAAAAGGCTCTGGGGAGACTTTATAGTAGCTTTCCAGTACCTAGAGGGGGCCTCCAAAAGAGCTGGAAAGGGACTTTTTACAAGGGCATGTAGTGATAGGACAAGAAGCAATAACTTTAAACTGTTTAGGTTAGATGTGAGGAAGAAATTCTTTACTGTGAGTGGGTTCCCCCAGTCCAGTGCAGATTAAACCAGAAGCAAACTGACCTTTCATTTCACATACCCTAGTCTCAGAAGCTGTTCATAGGTCAAAAACATTCTTTTTCAAGGTACTTGTGAGTCTGTTTAAACAAAACCATCTAAAAAGACTTCTGTACTCTTCATTCTGTAGGCCACCTTAATTCCAAAATACTACTTATGATTTACATTTTTAAACATAGCAGTAAATTATTTGCAGGAACTATTTACCTAAGTAAATCTACACTTGCAGGAATAAGGTCTGTGTTCAAAATTTAGAATAAGCAGCAACATGTGACAGCAACAGCCACTGTCTCAGTACCAAAAGCAACCTATCCAGAAAGCTTGTAGAGAGCAAAACACCGTGACAACCAGCATTCTAAATGTGGCAAAACCACATGAATACCCCACACAATATGGAAAACAGCAGTATATTACTTGACATTATACAAAAAAACATTCACCGGGACAGCAGAATGCTCATCCTTTGACAGCAGTAAGAACTGGCCACTGCTACTGATACAGCAGTGCTGCCTCTACCATCTCATCCTCCTGTACCTTAAGGAGGACTGGCCCTTTGCAAAAAGCTTAGCAATTATACCTTAAGTAGTGCCTCTGGCTATGGGGGCCTCTGGTGGTCTAGTGGTTAGGGTGCAGGACTCTCACCACTGCGACCCTGGTTCGATTCCCAGCCCCCCGGGCAGATGGAGCTCGTCAGCCTTGTAAGGCAATCCATCTAAGAGAAGGTCACTCTAAACAAACCTACATCCTGAGACCCTCACTGCCACTGTCCAAGCTTGCTCGGCCCCGGCAGATGAACCTCAGGATTAAAGGGTGGGCTCAGTTCAGCGCACGCTGGGTCTCACCTAAAAAAAATCCACTGCGCAGGCTCAAAGGGTTAATGACCTTTCCCAAATCTTCGCTCACGAAGACTGGCCATTATTAGTGCCTCTGGCTATTTAATCTTTTACTCTTTCACGCATGACATATTGTTTTCCAGTTCAGCATCCCAAGCGACAACTTCCACAAGTATCTTTTTAAAAAACTGGTTGTTTGTGCTTTTTTTCAGGGAAAGTAGTTCTATTTTAAAGTCATACAAACCAGCAAGGTTATCAGATGCAAAAAATTTCCCTAATAAAAACATAAGACCTAATGTTGGATAAAAAAATCTCACAGGCTAATTCGGGATGCCAGAGTTATTTATACAAACTGCTTTGAATCCTGAAAGCTTAATCCACAGCACAATACATACATGTTTTGGTTACCTATAAACCAACTTGAAACTCTTGTGATTGAAAACCTGGGGAAATCCTTCAAGCTTTACAACTAAGTTTCAAGTTGGTAAACACTACATCATACTCAACCACAATCTAGTAAACAGAACCATATACATAAATAATTATAACTGATGTGGTAGTGAAAATTTGTTTTCTGAAGCTGACTATTCCTAGCCCAGTTCCTGAACCTTCTTCTACAAGAACTGGAAAACAAAAACATAGACTTCCTACTCCAGGACAAATCTTACTTTTCATAGGAAGTTTCATAGGAATTAAAGTCCTAGTCAATAGTCCAGAGGGAGACAATTTTCAGAACCAGCTATTTCTTTAATTAAATTCTAAAATAGGATGGAATGGCTTTGAATACACACTAAACAATTATTGCTTCCTAATACTTTAACATGCAGCCATACAAAAAACTTTTACTGCCATCAAAATATTATAATATCCCTAAAGGTACATTAGAAGTATTTCTTCTATGAAAAGAATTTTGTTCAAGATAGTAGAAAAACTAGAGATACTTTTCCTCCAGATATAATTGCAAGACTTTACGTGGAAAGGGTAGAAAGTAGTCCTTCATCTAATGACTAAATCTACCCAACACTTCTAAGTAGAAAAAAAAATCTGAAGTTTTTGGTTGAAGAGAGTCTAATTTTTAAATCCAAAACAAAATGAAAAGACTAACAACCTTTACCAGTCAAAGAAAAAATACTTCTGAAAATCAGCTATGCCTTTCCCTTGTACCATTTGCTATAAATATTTATAGTAGGGAACAAAAAAGTCAGCTGATTAGCTCACCCATTGCTGCATTATAGCAAACTGCTGACTTTTTGACGTGACTAGGTAAACTGCAACATACAATCAGACACTCAAAACGACATACATAAAGCTTCACAGAAGACTGAAGCACCAAAGTCCTTTACAGCAGCTTGCCAACTACATCACGCAGCCATTACCACCAGTCCACTTAACTGTAAAAAGAAGGCCTGACACATGTAGCCAAAAAAGCTGTAAATACCCAATAATGATTATGAAAGAAAGAAAAGCATTGGCCAGGAAAAGGCAAAATAAAAAACAGTACTTCATTTCTTGCCTGGAAAGAAGCTCCTAGAAAGTTACTGGCATTGCAAGCATAAGATTACTTCAAGATATGACAAACTTGCTATCACCAGGGTCACATGGGATCACGTTCAAAACTGACATGATTTAAGCTGACAGAAATACTGCAGAAGTCAGCTACTTCTTACCCCACTAGCATAACCCTTTCATCAGGTAGAAAGTGAATGGCACAGGGAGGGAGAAGGGAGCAACAAAAATAGCCAGAAGGAAAAGGACAACCATAGCAGAAACTAAGCATTTCCCTACACCAGAAACTGAACAAGAACTGGAAACCTTGTAACTTTAGCCAGCTCTTGGAAATGCTCCATTAATACAGTGGGAAATGTCAGAGGTGCTTTCCAGCACCTAACCCAGTGACTGCTCCTTCGGTTTACACTGTCTAGATGGTTAAGGTCAGCCTGTAAAAAAATCAACCCAAACATCTAAACTTGCTAGTTCTAGATGAGTTAAAGCAAACCCTCAATCCTGGTTTTAATCTAGACGAAAAAAAAAAAAAGAAAAGAAAAAAATCCATGGTTCTATGTTGCAGATTTATCTATTCAAATACCTTCAAGCCCTTCAACCTCATTAGTGCACAGAAACACAATCACCACAACCCATAATACTCTCAGCAACTGTTCTCACTTTTAAATTCTTAATTTTGGTCGTTTTGCTTATGAATTATGCTTGGAGCAATTAAAACAGTATTGCCTACCTCCAGTATGGAAAAGCCTGGACATTCTGTTTCTCATAAATTTTAAGTTGTACAGAAGTCGTAGTGAAAACGTATATGTGCCTTGTAATGCATTGAATGTTTTAGGACTGTCACCTTTGCGGCTGTTGCAAAAAAGAGGAAGGATGTTTGGGTGCTCCCCTCCTCCCCACTACTTCCAGTCTTTCTATGCTTAACTGTTACAAAACTGTATTTTCAAATGTAAACAATGCTGAATCATCCATGTATCCAGGCCACACACTGGACAGTTCATAATCTTCTTGATGCGTAGCACTGGATATTGGACAGTTAAGCTGTGGAGAGTGGCAGGACCTGAAAACACACCCAGAGACACACTGCCATTATAAATCCCTCCTACGCACTCACACAAGCAGCTGCCCTGTTCAGCACTCTCACACTCACTCCAAGAAAATTGACTTCCCGCCTATGTTGTTTAAGGAGTTTCAACATTTCAATTACTGCAGTTATATTCCAGAGTCAGGGTGACTCAAGCAGCATTCAGTTCTTTCAGACATTAGCAATTTGTATCATAGGAGCAATATCCTAAGAGCACACAGCTCACAGATAACAGGAATTAAAGGAGATGTTTCAAATAACACACTGAGAGCCAAAAAACAGGTGATCCCCAGCTATGTCTAGCAGAGTATCATCATAAATTTTAAAGACTGTGAAGTCTCTAATCATAAGACACACTGCTGACAAGCTGTTGAGTGACAAGCTGAACACCTTTCCTAAACTAAAACCTAAAAATGAGGTGAAATAGCAATCTCCTTCTATAAGCCAAGAGGACTTCAGAGAGCCCTTCTCCTGATTTTTTCCCTTTTAATTGTAGCTTCTAACACATAATTTCAGTGAATTTGCTCCCAGCAGCAGTAAGCTAACCAATATAAATCTTCTACCAAGAAACCTGAATATTTTTCAAGTTCAAAAGCTTGTATTTGGAAGACGATCTGTGAACTTCTTGAACATGAAACCTAAAATACGAGCACTGTCACCTCCAACACCTAAACTGAAAGTTAAGCCTGAGATCAGGTATCATTTCACACATAGATCAGGTGTCACTTCACACACCAAGACTACTCCTTGGTTTAGTATCATTTCCTTGCTTTCTGAAAAAAATAAAAATACCTTTTTTGAAGCTTAAAATAAAAAAAGTACTTCCCTTAATTTATGCTGGCATAAAAAAAAATTCCCAGTAGTGAACTGAAACATCAGAAACTATGTGTTAAAATTATTTTGATGGTAAATAAGAACATCTCCATAAAAAGAGATTGTCTTGCCCCTCTTCCACCCAAGAAATAAAAAAATATTCCAACACAGACTTGCACTCACAACACATAGCATGAGATATAATTTCCAGAAAAACACTTCCGTCTCAAGTATGATTTCACTGAAGGATAACCAGAAGGTGGGGCTATCCCACTAGCAACATCCAGTCACCCAGCATAATACAAAATACACACTGAAAGCTACAAGCAAAACAAGGAAGATTTTCAAGAAATATAACCTACAAAGGTAGTGCACACATGTATGTCTCTAAAGGAACAACATTTGTGGGAATATTCGTTGGAGAGCTAATTCCCTCGTGACAGAAAAATAAATACACAAAAATCAACATTCATATCACAAGACTATACAGAAGTTTCATAGTGTTTTTACACTATACAGTTACACAGATGAATTCAATCTCTGCCTGTAGATACTAAAGAAAGCCTACCGCTCTAAGTATCTGTAATAACAGTTCATCCAGCTCAGGACTCCTAAACATCTGACAAAGCTCAGTGCCTGAAGACAGTTTACACTGAAGAAATACGCCACACCACCCCCTGATATGCAACCTATTTCTCAAACCTTCTCTGTCGAGTATTTGAACTGACACCTAGAGAAAAATACGTGATATGACAGATTTCCATCACTGCAAGAGGAGGCAGGAAAAGGAGGGGGCAGAGGGGGAAGAAAAACCAAACCCTAAATATAACAAACCCCTACACACGGAGCGTTAAGTTAGGCAGACGTTGGGTAGGCCAAGTGGCACGGTACATGAGGCAAGTGTTATTCCAACCGTCGTGTTTTCCATGCAATGCCCGCGCTGGGTCACCCCTCCAGCGGGACAGGGGGCACGGAGCCGCAGCGTTCGGAGGCCGGAAAGGCCGGGGGTCACCTGCAGCCTTTGCAGCAGCAGGACTGCCCGGCAGTGCCCCCCGTAGGCGCGGCGCGGAGGAAGCAGCTCACCCCGCGGCCAGCGCCGGCCTCCGTGCGGCTCCACCCCGCGCTGCGGGCAGACCCGACCCCGCCGGGCCCGGACACCAGGCACCGCTCCTACCGTAGGGCCCGCGCCCACCTCCGCGGGTGGGAGCGCGCGGCCCAGGCTGCCCCGCCGCTCCCCGGCAGGTACGCGCCCCGCAGCCGCGGGGAGCCGGCACGGAGGAGCCCCGCCCCGCCCCGCCCCAGTCCCGGCGCCGGCCCCGCCCCGCTGCGGCCCGCTCCGCGCTGCCGGGGACGATGCCCGGCAGCGGGGCTTCACCTTCGCGGTAGGCGGGGAACCCCTCACTCACCCCGCGGCGCTCAAGCGGGGGCGCCGTGCGGCGGCGGCTCCGCGCTGCGCCCCCGCCGTCCTCACGCGCGGCGGCAGGACCTGCCCGCACCGCAGCGCGTCACCGGCCCCGCCGCGCCCCGCCCGCGCGCAAGCGCCGCCACCGCCGCCGCGGGGGGGGAGCGGTGCCCGGGCCGGCTCGGCCAGGGGAAGCTCACGGCTGTAGGATCAGCCGGACGAGTAGCGTGAATCCGCCGGGCCGGCCGCGCCCGCCGCCCCACCCGCTCACGTCCGAGCTGTCCGTACCGATATAAGATATACAGGTACCTAAGGGCGGGTGCCAAGAGGACGGAGCCAGGCTCTGCTCGGTCGTGCCAAAAAATTGGACAGGAGGCCACGGGCAGAAACTGATGCACGGGAAGTTCCACCTGAACATAAGGAAGAACTTCCTTACTGTGCAGCTGACCGAGAACTGGGAGGGATTGCCCAGAGAGGTTGTAGGGTCTCCCTCACTGGAGCCCGAGATTAGCTCAGTTGGTTAGAGCATACTGCTAATAAGGCCAAGGTCAAAAGTTTGATCCCGGTACAGGCTGTCCACTTAAGAGTTGAACTTGATGACCCTTGAGGGTCTCTTCTAACTCAAAATATTATGTGATCCTGTGAGATACTCAAGAACTACCTCGATGCAATCCTGTGCCACATGCTCTGTGATAACCCTGCTTTGAGCAGGGAGAGTGGACCTGATGACCTGCTGTGGTCCCTTCCAACCGGATGGATTCTGTGACTTTGAATTCCACAACTCCATTGGGTGCTTCTCCACAGCCCAACCTTCACCTGCTTTTTATGGCAATCACAGTGAAACCAAGGAATCCCACTGCCCAGGACATTGAGGAATCATGGAAGCAAGGAAGGAAACTCAGTGATTTGTAACTGTCAAAGGCTTCAATTCCCCCCCCACACACCTTTTCTGCTCCAAATCTTTGCAAAAGAGAAATAATACCTCATACACACCAGAACATTCTACGGCAAATTAACCTCCACATGCCTGGCTCCTGGTTTTCAACTGCTCAGTATCACTGATGAGCTCTAGAAATGGGCAATTTAATCTCCCTCTCTGACACTTGTTAAGGTGGAACAACCAAGAACAGTATTTCTTTTTTCATTAAGTTTCTCAAATGAAGAAACTGCTAAGAATACCAAGGCCAAATCCATATACTGATAGTTGTTTACAAAACTTAGATGGGAGAAGCAGCCTTTCGCGAAGGCTGCTAAACTGAAATCCAGTTCAAATCTCACACTAATAATAGCCAAAAATAAAGGCACAATCCCTAATAGAAATATGCAAAGTTAATTTCCCAGTAACATTGTGTATCCATGGAGTCGGCCATTCTTAGTCTTGTTCAGTACAAAGCAGATTTCAGATCCTTAAAACTACAGACTTTTATTCATCTTCCCTTTCAAAGTACATATACTTGGCTACCGCATTTGCAATTCCTGTCCTACACACATCATTCATTCCACTCACAAAGACAAGAGCAAAGACAGCCAAGATTTTCTACTGCCTAGGAAGTAGCTATGTGTTTTGTGTGATAATTTGCTACTCTTCCATGGGGCTGATTCACCTGAAGAATTGTTTATAGTTACTGTTTGTTAGTCCTTTAACTTGGGTGGTGTTGCAGTGTTAGAAAGGTAAGTTCTGCTTATCGTCCATGCAACAGTCCACAGATGATCCCTGCAGAAAACATACACATCTAAACCTTATGGACACAGAACAAAGCTGCTTTACTGGCAAGTCAGAAGAAACCACGCAAGTGAGGAGCAGTGGACTACTTTTGTGTAGATATGACAGATGGGAGATCCTGGTCCTCCTATCTCCTGTTTATGCATAAATGCTTTAATAAATTTTCTTAAGTCCCCATCCCACCATACTAACAAAAATGGATAGTCAGTTGTCCATTTATTCTGTTATTCACTTGGTCTTTCTTTGGCAAATAATTCAACATTAATTATGCTTCCTAGAACTTGTAAACCCATGGATTATGATCATAAAACATACATGTATTGGGAAGGAGATTCCTCCCTCTCTTACAAGATTCTCCAGTTATCTAGCATGAATGAGAAGAATGCAGGTTATTAGAATGCAGGACTTTACCAGTACATTGGCAACAGATAGGAACAGAAAACAGTACAGCTACAAGGTGTCTGTGAATTCTATTAATAGAATTATTTTAAATGCATAGTTCTGTCTGAAGCAAGGCAGAAGACATGGAATAAATTCAAATATGACTCAGGCAAAGACAAAAATAGTGTCAGCCAGGCTCGGGTAAGTAAAGAGCAAATAAGGGGGGTGTAGATAAAAATCTCTTGAATTTTTTTAAAGCTGAAGTCAGAGTAAGTGTACTTAATTTAGTTATGAAAACAATGTTTTAATCAGCTCTGTATGTGTCCTGACACATGACAAAAATAAATCGGTTCAAAATATGAGAATTCTTTACTGAAGAAAGAGGAGACAGCAGAAGCTCCAATTAATTTAACACTGCCAAAAAGTGTGATTTCATTTAAAAAAAAATGAATTAAAATACTTGTATCAGTTACTGAAACCCATTTACTTTTCTCACTGTTAATGTAAACAAAGAATGCAGAACATAATTGGATGGGGAGGTTGCATTTATCTTGATTATTCCACCCAAAAGATTGCTCTATGGAGAACCATTTTTACTAGCTAAACATTTGTTTATGGAAAGTTAAAGGTCACTGAATGATTGAACCTAGATTTTCTTTTTTTGGTAGATAAATTGATTCCAAGTTTAGGATTTATTTGTACAGAGAACAAGTTTACCTTTAAAAAACCGGACTCTGATGTACAAAGGCAGTAGCAGGCCACTGCTGTTCTTATAACAATTCTCACAAATTCAGATGCATTTTACTTACATGAGACTGAAGGAATCTGCCCTAGCTTTGTTTGTTTTCAAACATAATACTGTGTGCAAAAGTGAGTTGTTTATCCATTGAATCTCTTATAAAGACAGTTAAAAATCATGTTAAATCAAATACAATTCTAAACAGTTATCTGATGCTATGTAGTTAATATAATGTTTCATTATTCTTTTGATTTCACAAAATTTTGCAACATTTCAACTAAAATCTTTAATAGGCATTGTGCTGGTTTAAAGGTAAACCAGCAGGGGAAATGGACTCAACTCAAAAGAGACATTATAAGTCAGAATAACAATTTAATAAAATAATACAATAAGTACGATTATACAGACAAACAATTGGTTTTAACCCACAAAACCCAAATATATAACCCAGTACCCTGGGGCATGAACAGAGTGGTGTTCTTTGGGCCCCCCTGAGTCCAAAGTAAAAGGAGAGGGGAAAACCTGTTGGTGAGAGTGCTGTTGCAGTCTGGTCAAGAGTGGTGGTTGCAGTCTGGTTGAAAAGTGGTGGTTGCAGTCCAGTCGAGAGTGGTGATCTGCAGTCTGGTTGAGAGCAGTGATCTGCAGTCTTCCTCTGGATCCCACGAGTGGTAAAAAAAGTTCCAAGACTCCAAGATTATATATTCTCCAGTTCAGGCAGGAATGCTCAGTACTTTCCTCAGGGTGGGGAGTTTCACAAAGGGTGTGAGGAACAGGGAGGCACCCTTCTATATCGCAGGCCTCTTAATACCTACGCTGTAGCCTGAGGAGTCAGGCTGCTCTGGGCAGAGGGTGTAAATAATCTATTGAAAACAGTTTCTGGGAAATGGCATAGAAGGCTATAGAATACACAGTTTTGGGTTACACCCATCCAATGATGAACTGGTCTCAGCTGTCCTAACTAGGACAGGCATACAAAACTACAGCAAACAATTTACATTTTTACTTAGAGCAAATCATAAATCTGTGGTGTTTTGAAAAAAGTGATTGCAAATTATATGGCCATTAAGTAAATGTTTGATGGGGAGCCAGGCATGCATCTCTGAAAACAGCAGCAACAGTAATACTGTCTTGTGGAGCAGAATTTCACACAAAATTAAGTCTCTAGGTTTGACCAAGTGACCCATCTAGGGGATGAGGGAAAGGCTGTAGATGTAGTCTACCTGGGCCTTTGATACTCTCTCCCACAGCATTCTTCTGGAGAAACTGCCTGCTCATGGAGTGCACAGGTGCAGTTTGCTGGGTTAAAAAATGGCTGGATGGCTGGGCTGAGAGTGGTGGTGAATGGAGTAACTTCCAGCTGGTGGCTGGTCACAGGGCTCAGTGCTGGGCCAGTCCTATTTAATATCTTTACCAATTATTTAGATGAGGGGATCAAGTCCCCCCTCAGTTTGCAGATGACACCAAGTTGGGTGGGAGTGTTCATCTGCTGGAGGGCAAGAAGGCTCTACAGAGGGATCTGGATAGGCTGGATCCATGGGCTGAGAACTAGAGTTTGAGGTTCAAAAAAGCAAAGTGCTGCATCCTGCCTTTGCATCACAACAGCCCCAGGCAGCACTACAGGCTTGGGGAAGAGTGGCTGGAAAGCTGCCCAGCAGAAAAGAACCTTCCGGTTGCCAGCCGGCTGAATGAGGCAGCAGTGTGCCCAGCTGGCCAAGGAGGCCAATGGCATATTGGCTTTTATCAGAAATAGTGTGGCCAGCAGGACAGGACTAGGGAAGAGATGGTCCCTCTGTACTCGGTGTGTACTGTGAGGCTGCACCTCGAATCCTGTGTTTGGTACTGGGCCCCTCACTTCAGGAAGGACATTGGGGTGCTGGAGCTTGTACAGAGAAAGGCAAGGGAGCTGGGAAAGGATCTGGAGCGCATGTCCTATGAGCAGTGGCTGAGGAAGCTGGAGGTTTTTAGCCTGGAGAAAGCAAGGCTCAGTGGTGACCTAATCACTCTCTACAACTACCTAAAATAGGGTGTAACTTGCTCTACTCCCAGGCAAGTAGCAACAGGACAAAAGGACACAGCCTCAAGCTGTGCCAGAGGAAGTTCAGGCTGGAACATCAGGAAGGATTTTTTCACTGAAAGGGTAGTTAAGCGTTGGAACCAGCTTCCCAGGGAGGTGGTGGACTCACCATCCCAGGAAGCGTTCAATAAATGACTGGACATGGAACTTAGTGCTAGGGTTTAGTTGGCA